CTCTAGCTGATGCCAGAAAGTAATTTTTAATAAAGTAAATTCAATCATGTATTAGCTCTGTCTCCCAGGTAAGCAGTCATGACTCAGGTGACATTACATCTAGGCCCCTCCCACAGCTGTTAACTTTAGCTCTGGATTATACCAGAATGCTGGAGGCAGAATACTGTTAGTGTTCTATTTTGTCTCTGCCTGTGTTAGAATTCTACAAAATTTTAATCTCGACAAAAAGTTAAGATTCAGACATATTTTACAAATTGTGCAAGTCTGCTATCCATGTATACTTTTCCAAAACAGTTCTTTTGATGTCCCCTTGTCTGTCTGGTATAACTTTTGATGTCCCCTTGTCTGTCTGGTATAACTTGCAGGAAGTGCTGCTCTGTGGTCTGTGCTTGCCAAGTTAAGTTCCACATGACTGTTGTTCTGCATAGACTCCTAGTGATCCAGGCTTGGGTTCTTTCACCCGCAGCTTTGCCACCCTCACCTTGCTCAGCTCAACCTCCCTTGCTATTTAAGTGTTTGTTGAACTTGTTTTATGTGTCTGCCACCATGCTTCAGGCAGACGGTGCAGCGCGGGAAAAGACAGACTACCTTATCTTCTGGAAGCACACTGTGACTCTTAGATATTCAGTAGAAAAAAAACATTGCTGATTAGTTGCTGGTCATTACCAATGCCTCTGTGTGTAATTATGATGTCATTGTTACAGTTAGTTGTCTGAAGAAGGTTGATAAATGATTATTTTTTGGATACAGAAAACCCTCACATTCAGTTTTTCCTCTTGTATGTATGTCTAGAATAAGATTGTTTATTTTTTTTAACATTAGAAAAAATTTAAAAATTAACATAGAAAGCCTCATTTTTTTTTCCTCTTTAGTTGTAAGTTTAAAGTTTTCTGTGAAGAGGAATATGTTCAATAACGGCAGAAGAATAAACCTTATAAGACCATTGCAATAAAAAGGGTGTTTTCTGTGTATATTAAATAATTAAATATGCTTTGTTTTAAGGTATTTTCAATAACATATCACTAGCTGTAGTTAGACTGCCAGTCTGCTTTTTTTCTTACCATTAAATGACACTTTGGAATTTGAAAGTTATTTCAGTATTTAACTAAAATGATAATATATAAGCCTTGTTAAGTAGATTTAGCAGATGAATATGTTTGTGTAGGCCTTGATGTTTAACAAATGCTTTGGGATGCATTTCTCATTTAACCATTGTAACACTGCTAAGACCTAGAGAAGCTGAGTGACCTGGAATCCTACAGTTTCAAGCTGAAGGGAAAAAACCATACACCTAGCTTAACCCCCTTTAAGGTCTGTTGTCCACTCATGGTACTGTACTGCTTTTACCAACAACACATTTGTAAATCATGTTTCATGGCAGGTCAGTTCTGTCACTGCGTCTTAACTATATTTAGGTGGTTATAAGACCTCCAGCAATTTTTTTAAAGATTTATTTATTTATGCATATAATTGGGATGTAGGAAACAGTGGGGGGCAGAAATGAGAGTGGGGAGTAGAACAGGCAGATCTACTGAATGAGCAAGCAGGTGAGACAGGAAAGGTCTGCTGTGCCTGTAGGTCAGCACCCAGGCCAGGGAATCACTGTCGAGGTGATAGCACCCGACAGGCCACCAGGGAGGCCCAACCTTTTGAAAGAGGCTTGTAGGGCCCCTCCCTGGTGGTACATTGGATTAAAGTGGAGCACTGTCAAGCTGGTCACAGCTGTTTCAACATGAGTTCGGAAGTTCTACCCCCAGCCAGGGAGGTGGCCCACATGGCATAGCAGACATCTCCTGTCTCATCTGCTACTCCCCCCTGCAGTATATTTTCTTTAAAAAAAAAAAAAAAAAAAAGGCGGGGGGTACGGGGGAGGGAAAGGCTTGTAGAATTATTTTTTGTGTGTAGAAATAATAGTTAAGTCAAAATGTCCATGATGTTTTAAAAGTTTCTGTTAAAACTTTTAGAGAGTAAATGGGAATTTGGAAGGATCAGTATTGAATATGCTAAGGACTGGTGTGGATAATGATATAAACAAAGTGTAGCAGTCAGACTCAGAACCTTGGTTTTAGCCATTTTCGAGCTTAAAGGAAAAATTGAGTGATATTGTGGCATTTAAGACCACCCTTAACCCCTTGACACTAGTGTTTTTAGAACCTGTGAAAATGTACTGGCAGGAACTGGTCCTATTCTCGCAGCCATTTCCTGTAAAGGTTAACTTTAGTTCTATTATATCTGTTCTTATGCTCTCCTGGTTTTGTTTTGTTTTGTTGTAAATAAACTATTCTATTTTGAAGTAGAACAACTATTCTATTTAATGTCACAGGAGGTAGTTAGACCTTATATACAATAACAGGTACAGAAACTAAGTATTTTGATAATACAGAGACAGAGTTCTAGGTACAATTACTGCTATAGTGTGTTGCTCAGGGATAATACGAGATTTTCTCTTCTGAAGGTCCTTACAGTAGATTTGATTCTCCCATTCTTTTAAGTCAGTATTCAGTACTAGATACTCTGGAGGCTAAGAGGGACACTATGGCCCCTCATGGAATTGACAGTGACTACCAGTCATCATTGTGTTCTTTGAGACTTGGAAAAGCTGATTTATGTAGGGAATGATGAATGAGTTTATTTTTGAAAAGTTACAGCCAACTCTTAAATATTTATGGCAATTATGCAAACATAAATGCCCTGGCTGACATCAAGGAAAAGATACCAAATGTCAACTTATTCATTAGTGGCACCTTCTCCTGAATGAGTATTCCAGAAAGTATAAGTGAAAAAGTCATTTGACAGTCTTATTTCAGAATTCCTTAAATTCTAAGGAAGAAATGCTAAGTAACTATGAAATGACTGAAAGGTGATGGGAATATAGGCGAGAGGGAAGGGACTGGCTGGGGTGTCAGACACTGTATTCTTGAAAATTGAGTATAACTTGCTGGCTAGCTTGTAGAATTGGTGATAACTAATGAGTTTCCCATTTCTTTTGCCTGTTGGTACAAAACAGTGAGACGATTTAAGCGGAAGCATCTTACAGCCATCGACTGCCAACATTTAGCTCAGAGTCACTTGACTGTGACCCAGCCCTTCATTCAAAGATGGACAAACAGAGACCCAAATCATGGTCTCTATCCTAGAACCAGAACAAAAAGAGGGACTAGGGGTATGTTTTCCCAAAAAGTATCTTGTGTTTCAGAATCTATAATCTGTGTGACCTTTGACTATTTTCCAGTATTTGTAAATATTGCCACTGCCATTTTGTAGTCCTGTTGTAAAAGCTTTAAACCCTTTTCTATTATTTGTGAGTTTTCTATGGAAATTCCAGTGCATATTATAGCAGTTGGTAAAATTCCCAGGAAAATGTATTTGCATGAATTCCATTAGCTTGCTTAATTATGACATGGTAGAAACCCATCTAATGTCATCACTATTCTAATCTAGAAGCATTGTGATTTCTTATCTTTTCAGTGTTCCTGTTTGTTGAATCTCACTAAGTGCCCTGCATCATTAGTTTTCTCCCAAATGTCCCTGACTGCAGTGCTTTTCATGATCAACTGTCCCCTTTGTCACCTCATCCCTGGACTACTGCTAGAACCCTCCAGACCAGCTAGAACATATCACATTAATGTTCTTTCACACCATTTTCTCTCATGGCACTGCTGGTCCCAAGAATATAAGTAAATTGTTTCCCTGTTACTGTTATGGACTCAGACAACTCGCCAGCATCTGCTATTTATTATTTATTGCATACAAATTCCACTTTTGACATTTAACTTTTCTACATGCTAAATGAATTCCTACTTTCGTGAGTACCTGTGATAGAACCTGTATTGCTTTATTTCCCTGATGTAACTGATTTCAGAATTCAGTTAAAATCTTATTATCTTTATATTATAATATGTATTTATCACTCTTTGAAACTACTACAATCAATTGTTTGAGGCAATTTTAATTTCAATGGCTATATGTTACTTGATATATTGTTTGTTGTGTGTGTGCAGGTCATCTTTTCTGTGTTGTTAGTTCTTTACTGACAAGGGCTTTGTCAGCATGTAGAGTACTGGCCCTGAGCATAAATACTGGTGTGATCGTGTTCCACACTAGGAAATACCAGGATTTAACCAGGACATGTCAACTACAATTTTTGGTTATCAAATTATCTTAGACACAGTAATAATTTCCCCCCACTACAGAAAAAAATAGTAGATGTCATAAGTTCTATTAAAGGGTAAGCCTAGTTTTGTTCAGCTCTCTTCCAAAATGAAGATTTTGGCTAAAGCCATTTCGGAAGAAACCATGTGTTTTATTGTGTATTGGTAAGGTGTTTTGCTTCATTGACATTGACTTTTTTTTTATTAGTGAAATTCAGTGGTGATGTTTAAAGTCACTATTTAGGCTCCTATAAAAGCCAGAAGAGATTATATTTGTCTCAAAATCTTAGGTACTCAGTAAATGCCTATTGAGTAAATATACAGACTAGAGTAGGCAGCACTCTAGTCTCAGAGAATTCTGACTCTTTATTTGAAAAGAAATCATGGGTCAGTTTTATAGGAAGAAATAAACCTAAAAGGATTTAAACTCTGTCAGATGAAAAGAGTCAGTTTTACTGTATCCCGACAATCCAAAGTGACTTCCTTCTGCTTATGCAAATTTAGATTTTCTATTGGAAGAGCCAGCCAGGAGTGGTGAATGTTTTGACGTGGGTATGTAAACGTGAGCTGCAGTTTAGTCTGTCTGTCCTTTCAGCTATCAGTTTGTGTATAATGTGACCAACACACCAGAAAATCAGTCTGTTTCTTTCCAAACATGTGCCTGACTGTATGGCATTGCCAAATGTAAATATTTTTTGGTTTGGCTGTTTACATCATCAGTTGACCATAAATTTTATCCTGTCTCTTTCCTCTACTAATATAGTAATTGAAAGTCAACTTTTCTCATGGGGTCGAGAATGGATCATTTCTGTTTGTTTCTTGTTCCTTCTGACAATGTTCTTCCCACAGGACAAGGACATCAAAGACACATCGCTGAATTCTTCCTAGCTGGCCAGCAGCAGTGCACCAATGACATGGCCAAAAGCAATTCTGTGGGCCAGGACAGCTCTCAGGACTCGGAAGGGGAAATGATCTTTGCTGCAGGGAGCAATTGTGCCCTGCCTGAGGAGGATGATGGAGAGGCAAGACTGGGCTCTCCAGGGTCTGCTCTGCCTGCACGGAAGCGCTCTCGGTCCTTCGAGGATGAGTGGAATCAAGCCACAGGGACTGGTCAGTGGGATGGCGTTTCTAAGAAAACTCCTCGGCAGCATTTGTCCTTCGCATGCTCAAGGCCTAGAGAAGCCAGACTTGACGCAGACAGTTCACTGTACTGCCCCCCTTCAGAGTCTGGAGATAGCAATCAGGAAGTGGAGGACATTGGGCCTGATCCCATTCCTGACTCCTGCTATGGGCTTCTTGGGACCTCCCATTGCCAAGAAGCACAGAGCCACATCTGTAGCCTGCCCAGTGAGGTCCTGAGGCACATCTTTGCCTTCCTGCCGGTGGAAGATCTCTACTGGAATCTGAGCTTGGTGTGCCACCTGTGGAAGGAGATAATCAGTGATCCGCTGGTAGGTGCACCACTGTAGCTGTATGATTTCATTCACCTAATGTTTACTGCTGATTATAGTGTTTTTCAGAAATGGCGGTTTCTATTTGCCTTTAGATTAAACCAAACTTCCAGGGGCATTTCAAGCCTTCCATGTTTTCCCACCTTTTTATTCCAACAAAACATGGTCTAATGAATTTGACTCTAAGTTAATTGATATCAACAAGAATTAGGTTGCTATGGCAAATTTCTAGTCGTAAAAACATCACCAAGCTAATAAATAAAAATCCAACACTTATAATATTAAACAGTCATTTGTATTTATTCATTCATTTATTTTCAACCATTTATTCATCCAGTTTGGCATCAAAGAGCCCCTCCTGCAACTTAAAGGCAAGTAGGGACCCAGCCTTGCACAGGACACCCTCCTACTGCAGGGCTTGTTGCCCATACACACTCTTTCTTACTGGGACTGTTTTAAGTCATGTCTCTGAAACTCACTTGCACATCATTGGGATGAAGGAGGGAACCAGGGTCCCCACAGAGAAGTCATACATTCATGGGGAGAACATACAAACTCCACACAGTGATCATGTCCAGTAAACTTTTTTCATCATAGTTACAGTAAAATGACATTATTCCAGGCCTTCCTGTATTCTTCAGCCTCTGTATATTGGCTTGATCCCCCTACCTTCACTTCAGTGATGGGGCTTTCATGTATCTGTTGACTTTTGACTACTTCTTTAAGGTTTCACTTTCTCGCTAACTACTCTTCCCCATTTCATTCCATTGAAATTACTCATTTCTCTTCCCATGCTACTGTGGCAATTTTTCCTCTATTACAGACTTATCAGATTCTATATCAAGGCTTCCGCCTGTAAATTATTGATAAACTGTTGGACCACACGGACTCTCAAGTTATTGTTGCTACTCTTAGTATATTACTGCCCTGCCTGGCTCCCTGACCTTTCCTTGTTTTTTAAATTGTATTTGTTCACTTCCCAGGTTTTAGGTTCAAATTCTTCAGTGGATCTGAGGGTTGGTAGAATGATTTGATTAATTTTTATGTTCCTCAGACTAGCCATTAGGACTAAACCAGAGGCACAGAGATCATTACCTTAAAATATACTGAAGTTTTTAAAAGTTTAAAGGTTGGAGTTCAAAACAGATAGATCAAGACTTAGGTGACACTTTTAAGCACAAAAGATTTTGGAGGAAATTTCACATCACTACTGCTTCATTCTTTGTGTGGGATCTTGTCTCCTACATTTTGAGATACAACTTTTTTGCTTTTAGAAGGGAACTCTATTTTGTGTCTTAGTGTTTTTACTCAAGGATTTGAGATCTTTGATATGAAGTGAATCGTCATAAATATTAGGGTTAAGTGAGGGTTCTCTCCATTCTACTTGAAAATATTTTCAGAAAGATACCACAGTTTAAGAAGCTGTCTCTTTAAATGTTTGAACAATGCCGTTTTTGTCATTACCATGATGTCATCAAATAATGACATGATGTCTTTATTTTTAGTACTCTAATAGATCTCATTTTCTTCTAAGTTTCTCGTTTTCTTCTCTTTGGCTATGGATCAGGATAATGGTGGCTTCATAGTAAAAGTTTGCAAGTATTTCCTCTTTAACTTTAATTTTGATTTATATTAATTGCTCTTGAAATGTTCAGTAAACTTCAGTTAAGCCATCTGATCCTAAGTTTTTTTTGTTGGGAGATTTTTGATCATTTATTTAGTCATGATTAGTCTGTTTAGATTTTCTATTTCTTCATGATCAGTATTGGTAGGTTGGGTGTTTCTAGGAATTTAGTAATTTCCTGTAAGTTACTCAATTCATTGGTACAGCGATTCACATGATTCTTTTATAATACTTTTTGTTTCTGTGATAACCAGCTGTCATGTTCTCTTTCACTTCTGATATCAATTATTTGAATCTTTTTTGTCCCTAGTCTGCTTAAGGCTTGTCAATTTTGTTGATCTTCAAAAAATACAGACTCTCAGTTTCATTCTTATTTTAGTTTTTCCATTTTCTGTTTTGTTTCTCTGCTCTAGTCTTCATTGTTATTTTGCTTCTGCTAACTTTGGGGTTAGTTTGTTCTTTTTCTAGTTTTAATGTATGAAGTTAGGTTGTTGCTTTGAGATTGTATTTTTTTCTGAAAAGCTTTTATTTATAGAGGAGTGCAGTCTACTTTGGTAGCCACCTTCCTTGTGGCAGCCAGACCTCACCCAATTCCTCTTTCTTCCTGTTGGTGCAGATATGTGTTTCCTTCTCCCCTCCCACTCTTTTTTTGATGAACTTCAGGGCCCACTTGTCTTTGGAGACTTTGAACAACTCCATGCACACTGCTCATAGGGCACAAAGCCACACACCCCCGGATCATGTCCCAGAAGTTGGTATGCTTGGTGAAGCACCTGTGGTGGCGGCTGTCATGGCTCTTGGTCACCTGTGGCCTTTGTTGGCCCATGGCCAGAAGTTGCGCAGAGCCACGGCTGTTGCGCAGAGCCACGGCTGTTACTCTGGGAACACTCAAGAAAGGTATATTCTGTTGTTAGATGGTGGTGATAAGTCCAGTTGGTCTAGTATTATTCAGGTCCTCTGTTTCCTTATTGATTTTCAGTCTGGTTGATTTATCCATTATTTTTAAAAGATTAATTTATGCATACAAGAACTGGGATAAAGGCCAGAAGTGCAGATGGTGAGAGGATTCATCAGAGACAGAGTGGGAAATAGGACAGGCAGATGTACTGAAATACATTGCTGAGGAGAACAGTGGGTGAGACAGGAGAGGTCTGTTACACTGTGTGGGTCACCTTCCTGGCCAGGGATCGAACTGCAGGAGCTTCAGATAGCTTCATAGTACTGCACTTTAACCTGTTGCGCCACCAGGGAGGGCCTGATTTATCCATTCTTGAAAGAGGAGTTATTGCCTTCTATCAGTGTAGTTGCTGTTTCTTCCTTCAATTCTATCAGTGTTTTTTTTTTTTTTTAAGATTATTTATTCATATAGGAACTGAGTTGTAGACCAGAGGCGTGGGGGCAGGTATGTGTGTTTGTGCTTGAAAGAGGATTCACCACAAACAGGAGAGGTTAGCTTCTCCATGTGGGTCAACTCTGGCTGGGGATCAAATTTATGCCACAGCGGCTGGACATAGCTCAACAGAGCTGAGACTTTAATCCTTGTGCCACAGGGAGACCCAATTCTATTGTTGTTTACTTTCTGGGAATTCTGATGTTTGGTGTATATAAATTTATAGTTGGTAGTTAAATCTTCTTGATAGCTACATCTTATTGGCACTTTTATTATTAAACAATCTCTCTTTTTTGTAGTAAATTTTGACTTAACGTCTGTTTTGTCTGATGTGAGTATAGCCATAGCTCTCATATTATTTAATCCTCATTAAAATAGTAAACCTAATATTTCAAACAGGGAAATTGAAATGCTAGCCTTTCCAACATTCTATAAGTTAGTGTTAGGTTCTCCTGGTATCCAACCAAAGTTTGTATATGTTTCTGCTCGGTTTTCTGAGTTTTTTTTTTATTGTGAGCTGTAATTGCTTTTGAATTGTTGAAAGATACCCAATGTGTTTGTGGCCTAATGTGCTTTCTAATAGCTGTTGTCTGTATTTTATTTTCGATTTTTAAAAATGTATATAGTTCATACCTTGGAAAAAACTGTATCATCGATATTTGATGAATGAAGAGCAAGCTGTCAGCAAAGTGGATGGTATCCTGTTGAGCTGTGGCATCGAGAAGGAGTCTGACTTGTGTGTGTTGAACCTCATCCGGTGAGTTCCTTTTCTTCTGGAAGGAAGCATTTCTGAAGTCCTTTTCCTTTTTTTGGCATGCATGATCATCTCCTTGTGGGCTCTTCTGTGACTGTCTTACAGATATACAGCCACCACTAAATGCTCCCCTAGTGTGGATCCTGGGAGGGCATTGTGGAGCCTGAGGGACCATCTCCTCCTTCCAGAGGCAAAGGCGTGCGTGCGTCAACACCTCCCAGACCTCTATGCTGCTGCTGCGGTACGGGAAGAGGCTGTGGGTGGCTGGGGAAGTAACGTCGTTTCTCATTGGAAGAACGTGTTTTGGTGACTTGGTTCAGTTTCAGGTTCCTTTAGATTTATTTTCAAAATTGCCCTTTAACCTCTGCTTTGAAGCATATTTCCTGTCATAACTCCATTAGAGAAATGAAAGGTCACATTATTATAGATCCTATATATGGAAAGAATTTTAAAAAGCATTTAGTCTGATTTCTCAGTCTGTTGAGGAATTCTCATCTAGCCTCTGATCACTTTGATTATTAAGTATTTCTTTACAAGGCAGCCCTCTGTAATGTTGACAACTTGAATTATTTAGAAGGTGCAGAGAACTGAATGGTCTTGCTGCAGACATATAGTGAGTTAATAAGAAACTAGAAATAGTCCTCAATTTCTAGATTCACTCTTGTGGTCCTTCATGTAGATCAGAGAGTGTTAAATTTTATCTTGGAAACTACATGTGACCTCAGCCTGAATTCTGCAGCCAGTAGAGGGTTGGAAATCCAACTTGTGCATCTCTTTTTACCTTTTGTGAAATGATTACTGGTGAGGTAGAGAGAGTAGTGATAGAGTCATAAAAGAAGTCCTTTTTTAGAATGCATTTTTTTAAATGGGGATTTTGAAATAATGTTAAGAATGACAAAGCTATATGTCAGTCTTGACTATTTCTCTGTTAGTGAACATTTTCTTACTAAAATAGAGGAGTATACTATAGTCATAATAATGAATTTTCAATAATTTATGTAACCTGGTTAATAGAAAGCTTGTTTGGACATTCTCTGGTCTGTGAGAACTCACCTGACCTGGAAAGGAATTGTGGAAGGTGAGATTATCAACTCTGTGCAAGGTCCTATGTTAGGTATTTTATGACTGTTTTGCAGTTAATGAGCACTAGGAATGCAAACCTAGAAGTGACGTGAAGAAAGAAATCCAGGGCAAAAGAAAAGGTTCCTTCCTATTATTTCCCACACGGCATTTGGGAAGTTTGAACTCAGTTCATACAGTACAGTCTGTATTATATGATCTGTCTATGGCACCTGGACCACAAGTGTGACTTTCTTCACTGGGTGTCTGATAGGACATGGGTCTTCTCTCCTGGTCTGCTTCCTTCCACAGGGTGTCAATGTGTGGGCCTTGGTGGCAGCCATTGTCCTGCTGTCCAGCAGTGTCAGTGACATCCAGCAGCTGCTCTTCTGCCTCAGGAGACCAAGCTCCACTGTGACCATGCCAGACATCACCGAGACCTTATACTGCATTGCTGTGCTTCTCTATGCCATGAGGGAGAAGGGAATTAACATCAGCAATCGGTAAAGCAGTGGGAGGAAGAACAAGACACTGTGATAGAGTGAAAAGTCCTAGACTTGCTGTAATTCCCAGCTCCTCCACTTACTGACTTAACAGTGGGCAAGTCTCACGCGGAGTTGCTTTGCTCTTTCCTTTATGTGTAAAATAAAGGTATGGTGAGGCTGAGGTGCAACCATGAAGGTCAGATGCTTTGTGTCTGTAAACTGCAGTACAACTGAAGCCTGAGGTGAAGTCTGAATAAAGAAGCCTTCTTTATTCATAATGACAGTAGTTAGCTGGGAGTACATTGGCCTCTGGTCCCTCCATTTCTCTCTTTTTGAGGATAGGCTATAACAATTGTAGTTAAGTGCTATCTGCCCTATATCATCTTAGCATGAAAGAGCTATGGCATGTTGACTACTCAGCCACGGTTTCCTTGTCTCACTTCCCAGAGTGATGACGTGTTTGTAGTGTGAGAGTGGATATGTACATTCAGCACATTTCAGCACCTACTGCATGTCAGAAAGTTTCCTAGGCCACTGTGAGAGGATTAGATGGCCTCATTCTTGTTCTTGTGGACTGTGTTTCAGGGGAGAAAGGCACTACTTCAGTAAATATGTTTAAAGTAGGACCTTTTTGTGAATGATAAACATTGCAAGAAAACAACAGGGTGATAGTGAGAGAAGTGGGGAAGTGGGGAAACTACCTGAGATCAGGTAAACTGAGAAAAAAAACTGTTCTGAGGAAGTAAAATCTGAGTTGAAACCTGTAAGTCAAGGAGGAGCTGGCCATTGTGAGATTTGGGGTGGCAGGCGTAGGGAGCCTTTGAGGGCCTAGAGACAGGAACAAGTTAGTGTATACAGGGGTAAAGAAGTCTAGTTTGACAAGAATGTTGTAAGAGTATTCTTAGTATTTAAGATTATGAGAGGTCAGCAATGTCCAAATGAGGGAAGAAGCTGTAGGCCATTGAAGAGGTTAGAGAGAAATCCCAAGTATTTGGAAGGGCCCATTCCTGAGCCGGAGGCAGGTGGCCTGAGGATGGTGCAGGTCCCGGAGGAGCTGAAGTCCCAGACTCCATTCTCTGGAATGAGTGAGCCCAAGGAGGAGTGGGACTGGCACCAGCCTCTTACCCTTGCTGAGTCTCATGGATGGAACATTCTCCATGAATGTCAGAGTACCTGCTATGTTTCTGAGTTTTAATTCAGTTGGTTACATGCAGTTTACATTGTATCCCTCTATGTCATCGAGACATGGGGCAAGGAGCTTCATAACATAATTGACATAGTAAAATCAACAACTGATGAATAATGTCTTTACTTGTAACTATGACCCACAAGTTATCTGCATGTTTACATGGACTTAGATGAGGAATGGGAGATACCAAGTTCAATTTTGTTGTGTTTTATATTACATCCTATTTTACTTAGGAGATAATAAGACCAGAAATTGGAATATATTCTTAGGGGAACTTGTTGTATCAAAGGCTTCATGTTTCTGAGTCCTTGGTAATCCTATCTTGTCTGTGTAACACCCTTGGGACCTTCAGAGAGACTTTCTTCTGTTCTAGACCATTATCACTTTAATGATCACAGAAAGGCAGAGAACCGAGCCATGGAGGCTCAGAAAGATGAGATGACATGAAGTTGATGTCCAGCAAGAATCCTACAGTAGGGAGCAGAATTTACATCTGTTCAACTAATTCAAAATATTTTTATGACTCTCTCTTATGTTCATATCTAATGTCTTGTTCCTTAAAGTACTTCCTAGCATCTTCTTTTGCCAATACACACTGGAGCTGCGTATCTTTCCCAGAATAGTGCTCCCCAGAGGAATGTGGTCAACTCTAGATAGATTTAAATTCTTCCTTTTTTTTGGTTAAAGGGTGGTGGGGCTTTTCTTTTTTTTTTGTTGTTGTATAATTTCTTTTATTATATATATATTTTACATCATTCTTCATTTTGTACGTTTTTTTTTTATCTCAGTTGTAATCCCTGTGGACTTCCTACTACCACTTCACCATAGTCCCTATATATATTTTATTTTTTATCCCCCCCTTCCCCCCCATCCCTTACACTCCTGCTATGAGTAAAACCACCTGCTATTTTTCTTTTTCTTTCTGGCTTATTTCACTAAGCATGATCCTTTCCAGCTCCATGTTGCTACAAATGGCATGAGTTTATCTTTTTGATTGCCGAGTAATATTCCATTGTGTATATGTACTACATCTTCTTGTTCCAGTCATCTGTTTTTGGGCATTTGGGTTGATTCCACATCTTCCCTGTTGTAAGTAGAGCAACAGTAAACATAGGGGGTGCATGTGTTCTTTTGAATTATTGTTTTTGTGTCCTTTGGATAGATACCCAGGAAAGGAATTGCTGGATAATATGGAAGCTCAATTTTTAGCATTTTGAGAACCACACCACACAGCTTTCCATAGTGGAGTAGTAGATATTTTCTTTTAGCAATGATAAAAGGTCTAAGTACATCTGAGGAAAAAGTAAGAGATTGTAACAATTGAAGTCTCTAAATTTGCTGTTTTTCTTACTAGGATTCACTACAACATTTTCTATTGCCTGTATCTTCAGGAGAATTCCTGTACTCAGGCCACAGAAGTTAAGGAGGAACCATCAGTTTGGCCTGGGTATGTATGTAGATGTGTGTGTCTTCCATTTTTTTACTCTTCTACTGAATGAGGAAAGATATTTTAAATTTTACTGAGGTGTAGTTTACTTAAAATTAACCTATCAATATATAGATTTTTGTTTGTTTCATTTTTCTAGACATTTCATTTTCAATTGTACCACCTGCTCTTAGATGTCAGGGGTTTTGTTAATTTATTCATAAAACCACAAGTTGGCTTTCCTGAGGTGTGGCTAACACTAAAAACAGAAAAAGCATAACATTTGGTTGAATGTGCTTTGCACAAAATCTTTAGGCTTTCTAAATCTAAAATCATTTCTTATTGAGTAATGATACTTTTTCATAGCCAGTTTTAGACATCACTTAAAATTATGTCTTTAGTTTGTGAGTGCATTGGGGTCAGGGACTACAAATTTTGGGGATTAAATTTCCATTCAAACACTTGTCCTCTTTGGGTTTTGGATAGTCTAGCATCTGGTGTTTTCAATTTTCTTGTTTTTCTAATCTCTCTTCCATAATGTTTACAGCAAGAAAACCATCCAGCTTACACATGAACAACAGCTGATTCTAAGCCATAAGATGGAACCTCTTCAGGTGGTAAAAATTATGGCATTTGCAGGTAACAGAACTCCATTTTTGTAGTAGTCAGCTTTGCCGTTGTCACTAGTGCCCTTTCCCTGCTACCTGCCAGAGTATCTTCACCTTTATATTTAACTAATAATCTGAAAAGGAACCCTGCCTTTCATGTCTCCATGGAGCATGCACACTGATGGTCTGCTGAGACACACAGTCCAGAAGACTCTATCTGTGGAAGGACACCTGGGATTGGTGGAGCCTGTTATCTGTCCTAGGGAGAGACTGGCCATGTTCAGTAGCTTCTTGACTTCTGCAGAGTGAAGACCCTTTGCCATTTAGTTCTAACCAATATTCCGGATTATTTTGTTTTCTGTTCTCCTGCCTCACTCAGCTATACTTAGTCTCCTAAAGTACTTGGCTATTCTTTGGTCTTAACCTTCGCATATACTGCATTCTCTACCTCAGTTCCATCTGGCTTTTTTCCTACCTAAAAATCCTATTACAACAGTAATAATTGGTTAAATGCCTCCATGTGCCCACTATTATGCTAATCCTAATGTGTCACTCTATAAGATTGGTAAGTTAGCTCTCATAGATAAAGACTTAAAGTTTAGACTTACTGACTTTCTTTAGGTTAAATAAGCAAATAAGCTTGGAAGTGGAATTCAAAGCTGGATATGTTTCTCTCCTCAAACATACCTTTTCTTTCCTTTTCCTTCCCCTTCCCTCACTCCCCTCTTCGAAGCTTCCTGCCTTCTTCCTGCGCTCTTTCTTTGCTATATTGATTCCCATCTTCTTTTTTTTTTCCTTCCTGATGGAGGCTTTCCTGCAGCCACTTGAATTCTATATGAGATCTGAACTCTTAATGTAACTAAAATCATTTATAACAGCTGTTTGGCACCTCACTACATGAATAGTCAGTGCAAGCATATTATAAATACTTCCACATTATCTCATCAAGTTTTAAACAGCCTTGTTAGGTAGAGCTAATAGGAAGGTACAGTGTTACTTTTTATCATAAGTGAGATTTTTTTGATTCGTTTTCAGGTACCTATTCTTCAATAGTATACTGAATTCTCTTTACACTCTTGTTTTGTTCTATTTGTTTCCACTCTGTTGGTACTTTATTACTAGCTAGATTGTAATGTAAGAACTTAGCTTTATGTTCTTTATACTCCCAATACTCCCAGTACTTAGTATATAGCTAAACATACAGTAGGTGCTTAACAAATACTTGTTAAGTGAAAGTTGATGCATTTGTAGAAGTAACTCCTGAGCTAAAGCCAGCCCGATACTTGTTAAATGAATGACAGCTGAATAATCAAACAAATGGTGAAGAGGTAGGGCAGACAAAGGCCAGAGTGCATCAGAGGAATCCTCGAGTTTTATTTGCATGCTCTTGCTGTGGAAGTATAACTGCAAGTACCACTTGAGTTCCTCTGTTGGGTACCTTGAAGATTATCTTTATCCTACCAGATCCTGCAAAGTGAGTGTTGTTACCCAACTATGACTAAGTCACAAACTGAAATTCAGTGAGGATGAGTGCCTTGCCCTTTAAGATTGTTTTTCCACCTGCCAGAGCTAAGATTTAAACCCACAATAGGCTGGCTTAGAGTTGGCTGTTCTTTTCACTGTGTTGTTTCTACCAGTGTTGGAAAACTTGTGACTATCTTTTCTCAAGCAAGAGATGAGAAGAACTTGGGGAAGACCTGCCTAGGGTGTTTGGAACACTTCTCCTGGTAAGAGACTCACCACTCTTGCTCTTGACTTCCCCAGGCACTGGGAAAACCTCTACCCTGGTCAAGTATGCTGAGAAATGGTCTGAGAGCAGGTTTCTGTACGTGACATTCAACAAGAGCATCGCAAAGCAGGCTGAGCGAGTCTTTCCCAGCAACGTCACCTGCAAAACGTTTCATTCTATGGCCTATGGACACGTTGGGCGGAAGTGAGCATTGCCATGATCATCATGATCACATACAAACTTACACAACAATGCTAAGAAAATTCAGTGCTTTTTTTCTTCATTTACAGGAAGGAAATACAGTTAGTGATTTGTACTTTTGTTATGAATAACAAAACCTTACAGAAGGGGACATTTTCATGTCTCTGGAATTGAGGCTCAGAAAGTCAGGATGAATGAAGTTCAGGATATCCCCAGTCTGAGCAGTTTCATATTTTTCTTGATGGGGAGGGGGAGAAGATGAGGTACTGGGCCCAGGTCTTTTGAGCCTTTTGAATTGGCATTCCCTTGGACAGAACTTTCCATCATGCTGCCTCCCACCCCCACCCTGGGGAGCTCTGGTTCATACCTTGGAGTACTAATCTAGTCTGCGTTTATCTGAGGTATTATATGTGAACTCCTGGAAGCCTAAGGAAACCAGTTCATATCTTACGTGGACCTTGTTCGGCTTTCTTCAAGGACACCCCCCAACCCACACACCTCCCCACTTAGAGTAACCTTGCACAGAGAGAAGGGAGCGGGGCATGCAGGAAATACTGTCGATTTGCCAGTAAAACCAGATCCTGTTCCCTTGGTATATGCATTACAGGTACCAATCAAAGAAGAAATTGAATCTTTTCAAGTTAACACCCTTCATGGTCAATTCTGTCCTTGCTGAAGGGAAAGGTGGATTTATAAGGGCCAAGTTGGTGTGTAAGACTTTAGAAAACTTCTTTGCCTCCGCTGATGAAGAGCTGACAATTGATCATGTGCCTATTTGGTGTAAAAACAGCCAAGGACAGAGGGTCATGGTTGAACCGAATGAAAAACTGGTGAGTGTCTAAAATCTATACTGTTAGGTTTGTCTTTCATTTTTTCAGAGCTGCGTGTAGGAGCTAGAGGGGGAGGGTTCAGCCCAGTGCAATAGCTTGTGTTTTCTGTGAAGAAAAGGCATGGACATCACTCTTGGTTCTCATGCTGGTTTTCCCACATTAAACAGACGAAGCACAGACAGTGAATAAATCACATGAGGTTTATTGCTTTTTGAGTGATGTTCTATCACTGGGCTTGGTACGGCCTCCACTCCTCCCTCACCTTGGTACTTGAGCCTACTGGAAGACTGGTGGGCCGCGGAGGGAGGTTCGGAAGCACTTGTACCCTACCCTGTCTTGCTGCGATGAGATTTTGCTCTGACCGCTGTGTGTGGAAATGAAAATGTGATTTCAGGATGCTGTCCCTTTCAGGGTCTCATACGGAGTTACCATGTCTCTTGCTTTCTAGAATGGTGTCCTTGAAGCAAGCCGACTTTGGGACAACATGCGGAAGCTGGGGGAGTGCAAAGAAGAGGCTTACCAAATGACTCATGACGGTATGATCCCAGAGCCTGACATCTATTAACTGTACCTGTTTTAGCTACAAAATCTCACTCTTGCTGCTGCTTTCTTTTAGGCTATTTGAAACTCTGGCAGCTGAGCAAACCTTTGCTTGCCTCTTTTGACGCCATCTTTGTGGATGAGGCCCAGGACTGTACCCCAGGTGATAAACTATTCAGGACATCAGTAGTCTCAAATACATAGAAACAGCATCATGATTATGTAAGAGGACACATATGTGAAATAAGTTGATTGTTCTTATTTGTCATAAAGAAGAGCAATAAGTGATGTTTAGTTATTAGTCAGAAATTCTTTATTATTAGAATTGGGATCTAACAGTTGGCCTTCCAAATTCCCTCACCCTTTTCTACCCTGCTCCCGAAGCAGATTTATTTTCCTCTAAATGTTTTGCTTAGCTTATTCTTAAAAAGTTGCCTAATCATAGCTATCAGATGTTAGTAGCCTGGATTCAGGCTGAGTAGGAAAAGGGTGTTAATTCAGAGCGAACAATTTGTGTTGTATCTTTTTAAGTGGCTAGTAGGCTTTCTAGGTCATTTTGAGACCTTAAAGTATAGTATTCAGAGAGAAGACAGTTGCCTTTTTCTACATAAGCTTTTGTGGTTTCTTACACTCAATAAGAAATATAATTTTATTCATTCCTAGGATTAGAATTTTTTTTTTTTTTTTTTTGGTGCATAATACAATTGTTTCTTTGGGTAGAGAGTGTCCATTGTGCAGGAAAAGATGCGTGTTGTTCAGAGTGCCCTGGCTAAGTGTCATGAAAGCTTTTCACCCTCTTCTTTATGAAAGGGTTCCTTTTTGCTTGTGGTTCGGTGTTCCTTCAGACCTCTTACACTCCCTCTTTTTGATTGCAGCCATCATGAATATAGTTCTGTCTCAGCCTTGTGGGAAGATCTTTGTCGGGGACCCACACCAGCAAATCTATACCTTCCGTGGTGCAGTCAATGCTCTATTTACGGTCCCTCACACTCATGTCTTCTATCTCACACAGGTAAGAGTTCTCTGCTTCTGAGCCCCCAGAAGCATGTAGGTAAATATTATTGTTCTCCACTTTGTTTATTGTGTGCGGGGTTTCGAATGAGGCTCATAATAAGTAGCAAGTCCTGGCTTTTTAGCAGTGGTTCTCCAGGTATGGTTCTCAGGGAATCTGCTGTCAGAACTACTTTCTTAATATTAGTTTGCCTTTTCCACTATGTTGATATTTACATGGATGATGCAAAGCATGGATGGGTAACTGCGCCAAAACAGTGCTAGTAATCTCTGTGCAGTGTAAACTGCAGCACTCTCAGTAAACTTAAACTGTTCACTTAAACTGTCCTTGAGGTTACAGCAAGAATGATCAGTTTTACTAACTGCTAACCCTTGGATACATCTCATTAATGGTCTTTGTGGTGACATAGGAAGTATACATAAGGAATTTTTGTCATGTACGGAAGTATGATGGTCATCTGACCAAGAGCACAGGGAAAAAAAATGCTTTTTTCTTGTAGTACCGTTTGGATTTGGAAGAACAACTGTCAGACCATTTCTGGCTATTCAAATACTTGAGAGTTTGGCATTTTTTCAAAAGCTATGACTTCTGGTGTACAACAGGCAAATGTTAGTTGCCAAAGATTAAAAAAAAAATCTGGCTTCAAGTGAAACCAAAGTTTGTGTCTGTCACTGTGTGCATGGTATTCCTGTCCTTTTCATTCTGTATCTCTATGAGGCTGCATTTTCTTCACATACTTCATCCAGAACATTGTATCAACAGATTGAATGCAGCAGAAATATGAGAAGCTAACTGTTCTCTGTTAAGCTGGGCATTCAAGAGACTTTTTTAAAATGAAAATAAAACAGCTACTTTTCTTGCTCAGTTTTTAGGTTTATTTTAAAAAATATATTCTTTGTTATTGCCTAGTGAGTTTATTGTTATTTTGAAATGATTAAGAATTTCCAATAGGTTAAATATATAGATAGATATAACTTACAGAAATAAAAGCTCCTTGGGGGCTGTGGTAATTTTTAAAAGTGTGAGCAGGCCTGAAACCAAGAGGTGTGACAGCCGCTACTTTTAAGAAACACTTCTAATTATAAGGTGTGAGAGGCGCCACCTAATTTCAGTTTAATTAGATCATAACTCTATTTAGTTTTGTTACAGAAGTCTTGTAGCTATTCTGTGACTTGGTTCCGTTAAGGTTCTGTGATGTGCTATTGTAATTTTGGGTGACATCAGCTCACAGTAAGGTTTTCTAAGTGGACGTTACTTTTCAGTTTTGCAGCTACAGAAAAACTAAGAATGGAACGTTCCCATATATCCTGTGCTCAATTTCTTCTCTTATGAACTTCTTATATTAGCATAGTATATTTGTACAGTGATGAACTAGAATTGAACCATTATTATAAACTAAATCCCATGGTTTATGCAGGTTTCCTTAGTTTTTATGCAATGTCCTTTATCTATTTCAGGATCTTAATTAGTTGGCCACATTATATTTAGTTGTCATGTCTTGTGATCCTTGAGGCAGTGATAGTTTTGCAGACTTTCTTAAATGTGATGACTTTGGAAATACTGGCAAGATATTTTGACAGAGGAATTCATCTGTTATTTTTCTTCTAATTAGACAGATATAATGGGTTCTTGGGAGGAAGATCTCAGAAGTAAAGTGTCATTTTCATCACTTGGTATAGAGGATACATATTGTCAGCATGACTTATGACTGTTGATACTGCCCTTGATCACCTTGCCTTCATGATGTTGGATAGGCCTCTCCAAGGTCATCTCCCTCACTTTTCACACAGCATGCTTTGCTAGAAAGCCGTTATCCCAGCCCTTACACAGGATCGTGTGGAAAATTACATAAATCATTTGTAATTCTTCAAAGGAGATTTGTTTTCTCTCCTTTATCTATTCAAAGCTTAAATTATATCAGTATGGATGTACAGATATTTATTTTATAAATATGTGGATTATAGTTCACTCAGAATGTTTGTTGATAGTATTGTTTTCCTTAGACTGTATTCTCTAAAGTACATGAATTTTTATTGTTACATATGCATGAATTTCAGGGAGAAAAGTGTCTTTACATCTGTGTTGGTCAAGGAAGTAGTGTGATGAGTCAAATTTTGAGTGTGGAAGTGATTCTGATAGGCAAGAAAGGGTGATAGAAAAAACATGTGCAAGTAAGGAGAGTAAGAAATACTGAGTAAGGCTCAGGAAATGATTATTATACTTGGGGCTGACTCTTTAGGGCAGTAATTATTTTAAGGGAATCTGAAAAGCAAGGAGAAGACTCTCCTTGGTCTCCCTTAGTCTTTATTTAAGCTTCTTTGTTAGGGTTGATTTGGAAAGAAGGGAAGATTTGCTTAAAGTCTTCTCTTGGAGAACAGTGGGAGGTCAGACTGTCCAAGCTGAGCAGGCTGTTGAGCCTGAGCCCATCACTGTTTTCTCTGCTCAGTAATCCTGACTTTACATTATTTATAGGTTTTTAGGAGCTTACTTTAAGCAGTGATATTGAACTTTATTTGATGACCTGCTTTGTTATTCTCCTTTTTTTTTGTAGTGAGGACATGTCTTGATGAAAGTATGGGAATGATTCATCCAGTGGAATTTATAGACTCATTTGTCGTGGGAGGAGACTTGAGGGAAAGTGATCAAGTAGGTGAAGTTTGGTTCTTTGAGCAGAGCAGATAGCAACAATAAGAAAAACAGCAGTAAGGATGCTGGAGGAATGGCCAAGATTTGGATTTGGGAGCAAGGGGTGAAGAAAAATAGGTAACTAATGTTTCAAGATAGAAATGCTATTCTGAAAATGTAGAAAGTCAGTGATTCTTTTGAGTCTGAAGCTTCTGTTCGGGTACAAGTGGATTTGCAGTAGGAAATTTCAAGTACCTTTTCCAGGTAGGATGAGCCAGGAATACTCAGCTGGATTTGGCAGGGCTGGACTTTTAAATGATAAAAATGTGCTAACATAGTTCATGAAGCAATTGCTAACTCCTTTTTGTTTTGTGTGTTTTCCAATAGAGTTTTAGATTTGGTGTAGAAATAGCATATGTGGGAGCCACTATCTTGGATGTCTGCAAGAGAGTAAGGAAAAAGACTTTGGTTGGAGGAAACCATCAGAGTAAGGCTTTCAGTTACTCCTCTGTCATTTGCTACAAAAACTTGTTTTCCTCCTTTTTTTTGGACTTGCCATAGAGTTTTTGTTTCTTCCCCGAAAGGTGGCATTAGAGGCGATGTAAAGGGGCAGGTGGCTCTGTTGTCCCGGACCAATGCCAATGTGTTTGATGAGGCTGTACGGGTGACTGATGGCGAAGTTCCTGCAAGGATACATTTGATTGGGGTAAGAGTACACTTCTGCTGACTGCTTCATGCCCAGAAACATAGCAGACACACATAATTGATTTAAAAAGTTCAGTTTAATTAGAATTATTGTACAAGTGAATACAGGGAGTTTTGACTGTTGATCAGGCTGCAGCTTCATGCAGCCCTCCCCTGGCCACTGTGACTGTGCTAGCTGTACTTCCTGCACACCAGATGCAGTTACACCAAAGGGCCTTTTTTTTCCCATTCTAAAAGATATAAATGCCCTTCTCATGTTTGATTAGACAGTTGAGGTCGCTGGCTTACTGCAAGCATTCTCGTGTGTGTTGTTCATCAGTGTAAGAGCAAGTGCGGTGACAGCATGGCAGGGAAGTGCTTATAGGCCCCAGTGGGTGGAGTTTGAACACTGGGTTCTAGCTCTGGTTCTGTCACTAGCTTTGTGTGGCTTGCGGCAAGTCACAACTTTTGTGTGCCTCATTCTCTCCATCTCGAAGGTAAAACTAATGCCTTTCCTTTACCTGTTTCACGGGGAAGTTAGGATTGACATGTATATGGCATTTTTAACTCTTCAAACAAAGTCATTCAACTAAAATAATATTTTTCTTGTTCATTTGAGAAAAGAAAAAACATTTTCAAGAGCCCATTATGTATTCACATCCAATATGAATCATAATAAAGATATTCTCGTTTTTTCCTTCAATTATAAAGCTTATGTAATCAAGTTAGAGAAATTTGGAAGTCGAAAGGAAAAAAAATCAGCTGTAATTTCCATGTTTCATATAATAATTCCCACTTTTGTTAATTTTTTCTGTCTTGTCTTTAGAGATAGCTAGGTAGTTTATGTAACTGTAGTCATAGTGCATATGAGAACGTCTGCTGTTTTCCAGTGAAAACACTGGCGTGTTTTCTTTCATGTTGCTACTTCAAGGACTTTGCAATATTTCATCTAGTAGAGCATAATTTAGCCATTTTTGTTATTTTAAGAAAACTGCTTTTGTAATATCATCTATGCCGGATTGATAGATAGTAAATCTCTCTTTTCCCCTCTTAGCATCTACTCATTGCCCAGAGAGTGCACCACTGTACTTGACCACATCTGGTTTCAAATGATAATGTATACTGTGTCGTTATGGTCGTTTTATGTTAATGTTATGTGACCCTTTCCCAAAAGTGTGTGGAGCCCTTGTCATCTTTGAGTGTGGAGCCCTTGTCATCTTTCTTCTGTCAGGGCACCCACAGTTTGTGCTCAGCACAAGCTTCTAAGTAGAATTAGGCTGAACAGTGACAAAATAAGGCTCCCCTAGAAATTCACCTTTACATATAAGATAATCTGAACCTATAGATAGCCTCTAGTTCTTTCTTCAAAACAACGGTAAGTTATTCATACTCCATACTTTGTATTTAGGTGACTTTTATGTTTTCCATTGCAAGCATTTTGTATTCCTGTAAGGTAGATGATTTAAATTGCTTTTTTGAAAGGAAGTAGTGGGCAGCTAATTTTTGCCCCTTCTAAAAAACATAAGGAGAGTTTAAGTAGCAGCCCATCCTTGATAATCCTAAGTTTTCAAGCTGCAGAATAACCTAATGCTAGTGCTTGTGCTTGTAAATCTCCATCTGTTGCCTTTATACTTTGGGTGTAATATGATCTGTGTTGGAGAAATCATCTCATCTCCAAATCCCACCTCTATGTACAGCTTTACTTTGTTTTGTTAAAATAACAACAAAACAACACAAAATGAAAAGCAATAAAAAAACAAAAATCCCACCAAAAAACTTTTTCAGGGGATTAAATCATTTGGATTGGACAGAATCATTGATATTTGGATCCTTCTTCAGCCAGAGGAAGAACGGAAAAAACGTGAGTACCCTCCTGGCTGTGACGCCGTGAACAGAAGCTACTCCCGTGACCAGGGATGGGATAAGGAGGGGCTGGTTCTGAGTCAGTGTTCTTTTCTTCTGGAATGGGTGGAGCTATATAGTGTTGCTCTTTTCCCCTCAAGAGTGAGATGCCTGAGACCTATTTTCAGAGGTACTGACAGTTCTTTCCAGATCCTTCGCTCAGAAGTCTGAATTTCTTCCTAATGTTGGTCCCTTAGACTGTCTTCCCCACCATCTGACTGCCTTGGCAGCTTTACACATGGAACCTTCTGCATGAGTCCCAAGTGATCGAGTCTGACATTTTGATAGTACTTTTCCTTTGTGTTTATTGTGCTATTTCAAATCCCTGTGAAGTAGGTAAGGATCTCAAGGATAGGCCTCTTTAACCTCAGTTTGGAGACGGAGAGGCTAAAGCACAGGCATTTCACTGACTTGCCCAGGAACACACACAGATTAGTGATGTAGTCGGGACTAGAACCCGGATCTCCCAGCTTGAGGACCATTTCTTGATTCCATTGTTGGTTGGGAACGTGGAGCTACTGCCATTGCCTGTCAGCGTCGGTTGTGTCATGCTAATCTGCGTGTGTATCCCCCTAGAGAACCTCTTCATTAAGGACAAGTTTATTAGAAGATGGGTACACAAAGAAGGCTTTAGTGGCTTCAAGAGGTATGTGACTGCAGCCGAGGATAAGGAGCTTGAAGCAAAGATTGCCATCGTTGAAAAGTATAATATCAGGATTCCAGAACTGGTGGAAAGGATAGAAAAGTGCCATATAGAAGACCGGGACTTTGCAGGTAAAGAAAACGGTTCACTTCCCCCAGGGGGAAAGGGTAGGTGTCTTCTGATGCTTCCTTTCTGCCTGTATGACTGTCACATGTACCCAGGGCCAGTTCTGGCTTTGCCTAAGAGGAGAGCAGACCTTTCGGGTTTCCTCAAGGCCCTTTATTTCTGTCACTGTTAAGCCACTGTCACTTTGGGCAGATCATTCGCCCCTCTTAGGAGCCTTGGTGTGTAAAATAATGGGGTCAGCAAGTTACTATGAATACTCAGTGTGATTCTGAGGTATGTGAACTGCAACAAGTTTTAACTCCCCCCCCCCTTCAATCTCTCTTTTCTCTCTCATCTGATTTAGGTTCTTATTTGCCCCTTTTCCCACAAAGCTGCACATAGGCAAGAAAAATACGGTTTGAATTTCGACAGCATAGGAGGAAGTGTGTACTTCCCTCATTTTGTTTCCTTCCCTGTTGAGCCCCCATCTAACTATGTTGTGTTTTGTTCCAGAGTACATTTTGGGCACTGTGCACAAAGCCAAAGGCTTGGAGTTTGACACTGTGCATGTTCTGGATGATTTTGTAAAGGTGCCTTGTGCCAGGCACAACCTCGCACAGCTGCCACACTTCAGAGTTGGTAAGGCTGCCCTAAGGGCCTCTCTGAGAGTTGACTGTGGGCTGCCTTTGGATTGCCTGGCTTTTTGTTGTTCAATATAGAACCTTTGAAAGGATCCTTCTAGAAGGAAAAAACCTACCTCTAAACTTCCTCCTAGTTCTACATTTGTGATTCTTACACTGTGGGTTTTTAGGAAAAACCAAACTTCACAAGGTCCACCTCTCTCAGGTGATTGTGTTTAGAATAGCCCTATTTAATCTGCATCAACTCTGCAGCTTTGGGTTTTCATTGTCAGACATTGTGTGCTCCAGCCTCATAAAAAGCTTAATGTACTATTTTCTGCTCACAAGCTTTTTTTTTATTCTCCTTTTTATTAAAGAGGTCAGAAAATCATATAAGTGAACTAGTAAGCACTCTTACTTATTTGCATTGATATAAACTTGCACTCAATGCTAGTTGTAAAACTAACATCAGTGCTATTGTTTTGGTTTATATTAGGATAAAATGACTTGAAGTTTTCCTACAAACAGTTAATGCTGTTAAACATTGATTCAAAATTGAGATGCCATATTAAAAAAAAAAATTGAGATGCCATACATTGGAGAGCTTAAAAAACAAATACTAAAAATTCCTTATCTAGTGAATATATTCGTAAATGAGGGGAAAACATGGTATTGAACATATATGGAATGGAGTGAGGAGTGAAATGGTTATAGAGAGGGAATAGCTGCTTTTCATTGGGAAGGATGAGTTTATTTAATATACTGCTACTCCCCCCCCCCCCCACCCTTCCGCTGGTCATTACATGTACTTGCTTGGGATTAACATCTTTATTGAGATATAATTCACATTCCATACAATCCACCCATGTAAAATATACAATTTAATGGCTTTTAGTATATTCACAGATCAACTGCTTTTTATTGAGTTCTTGCCATCGTGCTGGGGTATTGTGAATGAGAGAAGAGAGGCGTAAGGTAGGCAGGAAAGACTTGTACATGTGTTTTTCTTCTCTGGTTGTCCTGTCACAACATAAGACAATTCTAGAACATAATATCAGACACACAGTACAGGAAGTGGAGGAAAGATGGGCGTTGGAGATGAGCAGGCTTGGGTTGGGCACCCACGCTCTTGACTAGCTGGGGCCTTTTTGCCTTAGTGACTTAAGCTTTGTAAGCTTCGGTTTCTCCATCAGCCACATAGGGTTGTGGTGAGAACTGGGACGGTTACCATAGCATGTACCTGACACCTCCCAGAAGCTGAAGAGCCAGTGACCACGTTCCTGGGATTTACCTGTAGCAGCATGAAATAAAACAGTATTGTTGTGCCACTAGTCTGTTAGGTTTTTGTTCATTTTTGGAATGGTTTTTGGGGGTGAGTGGGTGAGGGATAGTAAGCATTTACATAAGAACAAGCTTTTTTATGTGTAGGCTTTGGAGGTGATGTGTGTTTTTTACTTTCTTTAGAGTCATTTTCTGAGGATGAATGGAATTTACTGTATGTTGCAGTCACTCGTGCCAAGAAGCGTCTTATTATGACAAAATCATTGGAGAACATTTTGACTTTGGCTGGGGTAAGAGCTGGAAGCACACGTTAATTTAACAATGTTTAGGTTTTATTGGGTTTGAATAAGTGATCAACCTTGCTTGTGAAGACCTTTGGCTCAGCATCCAGTTTGGAGAGAAGGCTTCTCTTTCCTGAGGGCACACAGACGCATCGACAAGAAGAGTTCTGACCAAAGAAGGAAGAATTGATTCTTTTCAGAATAAATTTTAAAAGTTCCTTTTAAAGTATCATCTGGATTTAGATATGTCTTCTCCCATGTTCAGTTGGTTCTCAAAACTATTTGGTAAACAGCAAAAATTAATTTTTTGTATCTAAACCTCCTTTCCCTCCCACTCCCTAGGCTCTTGTGAACTGGCAGCTGCTGTTACTAATACATTCCCTGAAAGAATATGTCCTTGCCAGGGGAGAATAGCATGGAGCCATCTGGCCTCCTGTCATCTGGCTGAGATGCAGAAAAGCATCAGCATTTACTTGACACTTGACAAACCAGCCTTCTACACTTGCTAATTTCTTTCTTTTTTTGCCTTCCAATGGGCTTCAGTATAAGCCACTTAGTCTTTTTCAAGTCTCTTGGAAACTAGAACAGAAATCTGAATTGGTAGTTATTGCTAAATCCATCTTTCCTTGAACCAAAGGTACTAAGCCTGAAACTTAAAATTCAAAGTAAAAATTGATATACTCTTTCTTAGCTCTCTCCAAAATATGTAAAATTTTGTACCATAGGATGATTTAGTTGAAGCCCCAGATTGCATGCTTCTCAAGGATGTAAGAATATTTGAAGGTTGGAATCTAAGTGCTGCTAGTACTAATGATTTGGAATTTTGGGGCAGGCAGATGCGTGGGGCAGGAGCCATTTTTTTATTAAACAGTGTATTGTTTTGGTGTTGTTCATTGATAGGAAAACAGAACTCTTATGCTCATAATTGATTATTTTTTGGGCTGCCTGATATGTGTCAGCCATATTTCTAGGCAGTGAGGATATAATTTTGGACAGGCAAAAATTCATGCCCTCATGAAATAGAGCCTCTACTATAGGTAAAGAGACAGACAATCAACAAGCAAAAAAAAAAAAAGAAAAGAAAAGAAAAAGAAAATAGCATTTCACTTTACATTTTGAGGAAGATAATACCAGAGCTTAAAAAGGAGGAACTTGCACCTCAAACTGCTAAACATGGAGCTTCCCTACGACCCAGCAATTCCACTCCTAGGTATCTACCCAAAAGACACAAAAACACTGATTGAAAACGATACTTGTACCCCCATGTTTATTGCTGCTTTATTTACAATTGGAAAAACATGGAAGCAGGCCAAATGCCCACAAGTAGATGACTGGATTAGAAAGATGTGGTACATATATATACAATGGAATATTACTCAGCAACCAAAAAAGAGAAACACATGTCTCTTGCAGCAACTTGGATGGAGCTGGAAAAGATCATGCTTAGTGAGATAAGCCAGAAAGAGAAAGAAAAATACCAGATGGTGTCACTCATAGCAGGAGTATAATGGACCAGGCGAGAAAATAACAAAAATAATGAACAGCCATATACCAGAGACATTTTGTGGGGGTGGAGTGGGGAATGGGATCAAAAACCGGGGGGGTGGGGGGGGAGAAGGGAGGGAAATGCACGGGACTATGGTGGTGGCACAGGGGTGATTTGGTGATGGGAAACCCTCGGGGATTACAATCGAGATGGAAAAGAAAAATGTGCAAAATGATGTAAAAATAAACTTTGTAATAAAAAAAAAAAAGGGAGAACTTGCAGATTAAAAACTCCATATGACCAAGGAGAGTGTCAGAAGTGTCTTGCAGCAGGCTGATTATCTTGCATCTTTATCACACTTTTCTCTTTCAAATCTCCTTTATCATTTTTCTTCAAGCCTCTTTGTGACAGGCCTATTTCTAAAATTTGAAGTCAGATGCACCTTTACTGAAGTAATTTTGACTCACGTGGGACTCATCTTGCTTGACAGTTTGACTATAGTGATTTGAAGCCACTAAGACCTTCTTTTGTGTCATCATCTTCTAGTGCCTAGAGTGATGAACCATTTTTGTCTCCTCGATACCAAGAGTAGATAGATCTGGATATCTCCTTTTTCTTTGATCCCTTTAAAAATGTAGCTAATCGGGCCCTCCTTGATGGCGCAGCGGGTTAAAGCACAGCACTAAAAAGCTAAAGTCACTTCAGCATAAGTTCAATCCCCACCCCGGAGGTGACCCACATGGCAAGACAGACCTCTTCTGACCCATCTGCTGCTCCCCTCAGCAGTGTACTTTGTCAGTCTGCCCGTTCTGCTCCCTACTCTGTCTCTGGTGAATCCTCTTACCGCCCCTGCACCTCTGGCCTATACCCCAGTTCTGTATGCATATATAAATAAATTTTTAAAAATGTAGCTAATCAATAGAAGCCGTTTTTGTCCCTGTGTTTCTTTAAGTTTCTTTAAGTGAAGGGAATCGTCACAGTGTTCACTGGTTAAGTGACCTGGAGTTATGCTAGTTGCTCAAAGACAGCTCCTCGGGCTCCTCAAATCTTAGATTCTTTATCTTGATCAGACCCGTGTATCCTTAAATGGGTGCCTGTTAAATAGGTGGTACTTGGAAGTGTTGCATGGACGAAGGCAGTTTCCTCTCCTTGCCTGATTCCACAGGCCCCAGTCAGACTGCTGGTCACATCCCTCTTCTGCTTGGGCACTTTGACCTTGGACAAGTTACTTAACACTTGGTGGTTGCTTCCTAGTCTGGCAGTAATGCAGAGGAGGTGGTTAGTGACTGAATTGAAATAAGTTGGAAAAGCTTGGAGGACACTCAGATTTGGCAACTTGAACTTGAGGTGGATGGTGTGGAGGGAGATCTGGCATTTGAGGAAGAGGTCGTGTGATTCTGGCATATGTACGTATATTCGTTCACAGTCACACAGCAACAACGATTATTTCTCCCTGGAAGAAGTGCTAATGAGCTCATGCTTCCTTGTCCTTTAGCTTTATATCTGGAGATTATAAAGAGAAAGCTATACACATGCTCTTGCCTGGTGATTTAGAGCACAGAGTTTGGTCTTGGGTTTGAGCCCAACTCTGCTGCAGTTTAGCTTTGTTATCTTTTCATTAGTGACTTAACTTCTCAGCTGTACCCTCATCTGTGCAGTGAGGATGACGGCAATATCACCCTCAGGAAGTCAGTGTTGAGGATTGTTGAGTGCTTTATAAGCAAGGACCTGATTATTGGCAAGAAACCAGGGTGTTTAAAAACAAAATGGCCTGACACTGACAGAATGGTAGTTGGTGATATTATGTGCTTTGGATTCCTGAGGGCCAGGGGAGCAGATGAGGATTTGGGGCTGCCTCTTGCTTTTCCCCCATGTGGTAGTGTCTCCCGCAGTTGATAGAGGTTCTTTTGCCAGCATGTTACACGGTCTCTTCACAGTTCCATGGTTAAGGTTTCCTCAGTTATTGGTGAGTTCCTTTTACCCGTGAAAGTATTGGACACCCCAGATGTCTCTATAGAGTAGGGGCAGTTGCTTAATTGATTCAACTGTTTATTCTTTCAACAAATATTCAATTGATAATTTTTGTCAATAATTGGCACTTTTTGTGAGTAGAGGTAGCAAAATAAGTAACTTGGTCTGTGATCCACAGAATTTACTGAAAGGGAAGCTATTAGATCCACCATCAGAATTTTGGGAGTTGGAGAGTCTGTTACCCTTACATGTTGGGTGACATTGGGACAGAGAAATATGCCATCTCTGTCATGTGGTAGCAGTCTCCCTATAAATAAACCAAGGAACAACTTTGGAAACTAATGCTCTGTATGGGAAGAATTACTTTTTTCCTGTTAAGTTTGGGATCTTAAAGGGTCTTATTTGTTTGTTTGTTTTAGATTTTAGAAATTGTTAATCTGGCTGGTAATTTGTATTTGCCTAAATGGAATCCCTCCTCATCTTAAAAATCCTGTGAGTGAATAGGAAATGCATGCTTTTTTTTTTAGGAAAGGATTTCACATAGTTTTCACAACTCATTGGTGAGAACATGAGTGTTTTCACATTTTCTGTTTTTTCTATAGCACATAGGCAAATTTTGCAAGAGAGAAAAAACCTACAGAAGTTATTAGACATAGAATATAAAAAAAGCAGATAACCAGTTGTAATTCAGAAAATAAGACATCATAATTATTTTGTGAGCAGTTATTTGTAGCCCTGCTGGTGTGCCAGAACTTGGTGGCCTTCCCGGGGATATGGGCTCTGTGCTGTGATGGTTCTCATCTAGGAGGTGTGATTGGAACGGCTGCGCACCGAGCAAGCCTGGGCACTTGGTGTGTTGTTGTGTTTTGTCCTCAGAACAACTGTGATGTTAGAGCAACTGTGATCTGCCCTACAGCTGAAGAAACTGAAGCTAAAGATGGGTAGGTGTTTCCCTACTCCTATAGAGAGAGATTTGGAGGATGAAAATTAGGTGCAGTGCTGATATGGGTAGATCTTTTAAGATTTTCTGTGTTAGTGTATCTGGGCTGTAAAGTAAATATACAAAGACTTTTTTTTTTTTTTTAAAGATTTATTTATTTGTGCATACAGAACTGGGGTACAGGCCAGAGGTGCAGGGGCGGTGAGAGGATTCACCAGAGACAGAGCGGGGAGCAAAACAGGCAGATCAACGAAGTACACTGCTGAGGGGAGCAGTGGGTGGGTCAGGAGAGGTCTGCCACACCATGTGGTCACTTCCCGGGCAGGCGGGGATTGAACTCATGTGGAAGCGGCTTTAGCTTCTCAGTGTTGTGCTTTAACCCTCTGCGCCACTAGGGAGGGCCCTACAAAGACTTTTTAATGATTGAAGGGCAGATCAATATAAGATAAAATTCAGAAATTAAGAGAACCAGTAATTTCACATGTTTGTCTATTAAGCCTTTTTTTTTCTTTTAAAATAGCACTTTCACTAAGAAGCCAATTAAACTGCTTAGAGTATTCTGGACAGGCAGAGAAAGAAGATGGAAACCAATGGACATTTGGTGCTTTTCTTTCCAGGATGTATATGTATCATTTAACTTGAGTTTATTGCTCCTTAACTACTGGTATTTCCAGGCAAGTGTGGCAGAAATATTGTTAATATCCTCTTTCTCACTCTTTCCTTCTCAGGAGTACTTCTTGCAAGCAGAACTGACAAGTAATGTTTTAAAAACAGGAGTAGTCCATTGCTGCGTGGGACAGTGCAACAACGCCATCCCTGTGGACACTGTGCTGACCATGAAGAAGCTGCCCATCACTTATGTACGTGGTCTTGGCAGCAGTAGTTGCTTTCTGCAGAAATTGAAGCCTGTCGTTTGCCTTTTACTGCACTTGACTTACAGGCTTATCTGGGCTGCGGGAGGGAGAGAAAGAGAAATTTCTATAATCCTTACTAGGGGCTTTCTGTGTGGAAGGCACAAGCAGTGTGGTGTATGGGTGACAGTGCACGAGTCAGGGTTGTGGGGCATGATCTGGGAGATGGGGCTGTGCCTGGCACTCAGGAGAGCTCTTTACCCTACAGAGTCCCATTAAGTTCTTCTGGGCTCTTTTCCCTTGGCCTTGATAAATTCTGGCTTCTACTCAAAGAGAATTGGTAGAGTTGAGTCTAGCTGGACTGCACTGTGGGAAGTACTACCTCAGGAGCTCACCCAGGTCTGAAAACATCAGAATCCTAACAGCAGATCATTGCTACTTGGTAGAAAATCCTTGTTCTTTGAGTGTTCCCCTTACCTTGTTTCTTATCTTGTTTCTTACTGCAGAGCAACAGGAAGGAAAACAAGGGTGGCCACCTCTGCCACTCCTGTGCAGAGCAGCGCATCGGGCCTCTGGCCTTTTTGACAGCCTCCCCTGAGCAGGTGCGCGCCATGGAACGCACCGTCGAGAACATAGTGCTCCCCAGACATGAGGCCCTGCTGTTCCTGGTCTTTTGAAAGCCCAGCAGTGCATTCTCCACAGCGAGGAATTCCTGGTGTGGACTCCAGTTACTTGAAGAAAGCCAATTTGGGGCTGAGGGCTCATTCCCCTGAGGCCATGGATTCACTCATGGAACATTTTTTGAGGAAGAAGATGCCAATGAGAGTTGGACCTGTCATTTCTGCATTCCTTGTAGGTAGCCAGTTTCCACTGCCCCTCCTCCATGTGTACCAGACTGGGGATCTGGGGAGCGGTCTTTTGATAAAAAAAATTTTATGTATTTAAACTTTTATTATAAGATTTCAATTAAAGAGGCACTGTAGCACTGGCAGACCACTGTGCAACACCTGGCTTCAGCACTCTTGTTTTTGAACTTCCTTGTTTTGTTTACTTTATTCAACATCTTGATTCACCAAGCAGAGTATAAGACTTAATGTCTAGGGTCACAATGGATGTATCAAAAATGAGAATTTCCTGCCAGAGAGAGTCACACACATTTAAGATATGACCTGTGCCTTTGTCATTTTGGGGTTCTCAATGTAAAAGGGAGGAAACCTAATAAAAAGTCAAGTACAGAGTGGCAATAGCTAGATTTCACATATTTCCCACAGGTAGAACTGAGACTCAGAAAGAGTTGAGGGAGCAGTGGAATTGAACAGCCACCAGGGCTTTGGGGAGAGTGGAGAGGGAAGCTGGTAGAGATGGAAAATTGGCACCTGGTTCACTGCCTGGGACTGCTGGGTAGATGTTGTAATAAAAGTATTTTTATAGAAACTACTGATGAAAAAGCTCATGTCACTTGCATGGACATAGATGTGGTATTTTTGCATTTTTGCCATACAGCACTTCAGAGATGCAGATGGCAGGTGGGGGAGTTGGCAAAAACCTTGCCCAGAGAGTTCACCACATCTAGTCTCTGAGTCCAGTCAAGCAGAGCTCCAGAGCAGACAGACCTCATAGCTGCAGTTGTTGCAGACTCCCCTTAAGCTCTCCTCCGTCAGGCCTCTAGTGGAGCTAGCGTGCAGGCTGGTGAGTAAAGCAAGGGTGCTGTGGGCCAGGGGTGCATGGGAAGGTTGAGTGCCGAGGTGGTATACTGAGGAAAATTCAGAGAATTGATCCTGTAGACGGAGTTGGATCATGTGATGAGAATGGGCTGGGGCTCTTTCTTTCACTTGGCCAGCATTCCTGGCAAGCCTTAGTGCCATGAATAACATAGAATAAAAGGGCAAGTGAAGGGAAGTGACTTGAATGTGGATTGCTCACAGTATTGAGTGTCCTTCAAATGAGGGATTTGGGCGCAGGGATGGCTCATCAGTGTTTTTTTGAAATTTAATTTTCTATCCAGAGAAGAAGCTACTTTATTATTGGAGGAGAAGTTATTAAATGGGTGAAGAGTCACCAAGTACCTTTTGTGTGGCATGTGCCTTATTAGGGAGTATGCAGCATGGAAATCACAGTAAGAAGCATGATTGTAGTTAGAGATGAGTGTTTGCAGAAAGTGCTTTGGGTTGGAGAAGTATCCATGAGAGCACAGATCAAAAGCTGTTCAAAGGCGCATTGCTGGAACTGTTTGCAGTGTGAGGAGGTGACTAGCTGTTAAAGAATGGAGGGACACTCGGAAGAAAAACAGGAAAGATAGCCAGATTGTGTGTAGTAGCAGCACTCAAAGCAAAACGTCAGTAGTGTACTTTGAAAGCTAACTGAATCTGGAAACTAATAGAATTTCCTTTTTTAAGTGTTAAGATTTGAAAAAAAAAATATTTGGTGTGTTTCAAATAGGAAAACAATTTTTAGACATCCAGTAAAAATACAGATTTTTAAAATAAGTGTTAAACATATTGACTATTTTAGCATAGGTGATTAGATGAGATGAATAAGAGCATTACTTAGAAATATAAATGGAACTTTACGTGAAAATGAAAAATGACTATTCCTTTTAAAAGTGTAATCTCTTAAGAGGCTCCCATTATTTCATTCGTTGTGAATGTATTTTTATACAAGATTTCCTGTTTTTTTTAAACCATGATAGTTGGAAGAAAAATAGTTATGAACTAATTACAACTATTTTTCTTTGAGCCATAATTTTAAAATACTCCCTTTTGATAAATTAGAGCTCTTTTTAATTCTAATAAGAATCAATAATACATTGATAGGAAACTAGTTTTTTGTCTCAAAGAGATCATTTCTGATTTGCCTCCATCTTCTTTCATTTTATCATGTATATAGAGATTTTGACACAGTTACCCATATAAAAATAAATGTTATGTTATATTCCATTTGTTTAAAAGGTATTTAAAAGGTATTTGAAATAAAATAATATTCTTACAATAGGTGTGTTAACACACCATAGTGTGTTGGAGACTATGCCTTAGTTTGTCTTCACATATAATTATTCCCAAGACATTGTTTCAGATTTTAGATTTGTAAAAAAATAATGAGGTGATGTTACTAGACCAACCTAAAATATTCATATACAAATATTTTAAAATATCACCAAGGACAAGGGTGGTATTAATAAAAGAGCTCAGTGTGTCTCAGTATGTCAGGGCTGCTATAAGAGAACACCACAGTTCTGGAGGCCGAAAGTCCACGTGCAGGCATTTTTGGTGTTTGGTGAGAAGCCCTTTTCCTGGACCATAGGTGGTTGTCTTCTCTGTGTTCTCACAGGGAGAAGGGGGGAAGGGTCTCTGGGGTTTTATATCGGGGCACTAATCCCATACATGAGGTTCCACTCTTTGGACTTCATCACTCCCCAAGGGGGTTGATATGATCCCCTTGGAGGTTAGGGTTTCAACAGTTGACTTTTATATATACAAAGATGCACACACGCGTGCACACACACATTCTCTAGGTAAGAGACTCAGTTTCTTCTCTGGGAAATACAACCAGCTTCAGTAGAAACAGTGATGCTAGAGGGAAGTCCCTAAGGATATTGACCAGCCAATTTACTCAGTGGGAAAAGCCTTCAATCTTCAAACCCCACCCGAGTACTTCATGATTTCAAACATGTTTTCAAACATGTTTTCAAACATGTTAAGATGAAGTAACCAAGGAGCACTGAATACCTGAAAAGAGCTTCTGAGATGAAGACTGGATATCAAAACAAAATTATCAACTACGAGGAAACAGTCAATGTGGGAGAAGAAAACAGCTAAATATCTTAAATATATTCAGGCAATAAGAGAAGATAATGCATTGTGAAAAAACAGGGTCCAGTAAATTCTCAGTGACGTGAACAGGTTATTGGTAACTTTGACTTGAGCAAAGTGACATGTGGAAAGCAGACCCTTAAGTACTTTCTTTTAACATAAATGGACATTTTTTACCTTTCACCATTATAATAAAAGGACATTGTTATAAATATTTGACGATAAAAATATTAAAGAAAGCAAAAGCCCTAAAAGCTGTTGTGAGGATCAATTGAGAAATATGCAGAAAGTAGAGCCAAAACAAAGATTGGAAAAGGAAATAAACCAGAACCAATATAAAAATTGAGCATCTCCATTATAAAGAGGTTTCAGGAAGAGAAAACTGACTGGGAAACTTTTTTAATCATGAAAATTAACCATAACAGGATATATGAGTTTCCAGATGAAAATAATATACTGTGATATTGTGCATTGTATGGGGCATGATTTTTTATTTCATTTATTTTTTCTTGAGGTAGCATAGGTTTACAACACTGTGATTCAGAGGCAGAGGATCACACCTCTGCAGATGTGTGTTCTCACACCACACCCACTACTGAGGCATTTAGGACACATTTTTTCACTTTAATGCTTTCTGCTTTTTCAGAGGGCACAAGATTTTTCTTCTTTACTGAATGACACTTGACTCTGGAGGGTGGTTCTTAGACTTCTCTCCGGCTTTTAAAACATCAGAAAGTGCCAATAACCAGAATTTTTCTCCTTTAAGTTCAAAGGTGAGAAATGAGTGCACCTGCCAGGGATCGAACTCACACGAAGTGGCTTCAGCTAGCTTGCAGTGCTGAGCTTTAACTGTATAGGGCATTTTTAAGAAACTTAAATTTTCCGGTAGATTTAATTATATTACTTGCTTTAGCATCTTAAGGGCACTTAAACTACTTGAGGATTTTGCAACTTGGTGGCTATTTCAAAAACCTCCTCTTTTGTCTTTCCATGATCTCTAAGGGATAAAGCTACAAGTGCCCTGTGGTTGGGTCTTTGTAATCACAGTATCAGGCTTGCTGTCGGGTTCACCCAGCAATTCTAGTCACTCTAGTTCTTCAGTTCCACCCCACAGTTTCTTATCAGCAAGCAAATGCTTGAGTTTTTAGAAATTGCATTGAAAAAAATCAGCAAAAGTACCTGAAGTTTTTGGTTTGGAACATTTTATGAGCTAGGTTTATGAACTTTTGCTTTAAGTTCAAAGCCACTGTTAATTTCCTCTCATATCAACAATTTCACCTTGATGGAGGCTTAGAGTAGAAAATTTGGGATGGAGGCATCACAAAGACATTAGAGTGGGGGTAGAAATGATTAAACTAGCTATGGAAATGAAAAGATGGGGATGGGGATTTGGGAATTGTCATTACAGAGGACTGAGATAGAAACTATCAGTAGGCAAGCAGACCTCTCCTGTCTCTCCTGCCACTCCCCTCAGCAGTGTATCTCAGTCAGCCTGCCTGTCCTGCTCCCTACTGTCTCTGGTGAATCCTCTCATGACCACCCTCTCCCCCTACCATCCCAGGTCTTCTATGCCAAAAAAAAACAAAAAAACAAAAACAAAAAACAAAAAACAGCACAGACCAGAGGTGGAGATACCAAGACCCAGGGACAGTGCAGAGAATCACAGGTCCTTAGTGACTAACAACAGATAAAAATGTCCCAGGGGATGTACTCCTCCCTAGAAAAGGAACATTCTGTAAGAACAACTCCACCCCCAGCAAAATGCAGCTCTCTCCCAAGACTGCCCACTTGTGGCTATGCTGCAGGTGTTTCTTTCAACAAACTCATCGCAGATACAGCTCTTTCGCCCACTTCTATCTGTGCAAGTGTCTTCTCTCCTTTTTTCCCTAATAAATGTGCCCCTTTTGGATATTATCTTTCCTCGACCAGTGTCTGTGCAAGCCTCTTCTGGCAAGCTCACTGTGGGCCAGAAAGGAGCCCTCTGCAGAAACTTCTCCATGTTAACCCAAGGACTCCACTCATCTGAACTCTACTTCTTATCAGAACCCCATCAACCTGTGGCATCACTCATCTTCTGCAAATCTGTGGTCTCTACTCTGGATTAGAAAGTTTTCATCACTCTTTTTAGGTCATCTATTGTTTTTCCTACATGTTCTTTCCGGTGGTGGAATAAGTCCACAGCCTGCTTTGCTGGCTGCTTTGCTCTGTAATGTCAGCCAACTGTCCCAAAATAAACAGTGACTTCATTGGTATGGACTAGTTTTCTTGGCCTGAAGGCAAAGGGACCAAGTGGGACCATGGTATTGTAAGACATTTTATCAGACAAAGTACTAAGTCTTTATTCAAGGACATTATAGTCACGTCTATCTTCTTCCAATGCTGGGTTTTTCTCTTGGCCATTAGGGACCAGTTTTGCTGCTCTTGCCAAGCTGATCCACATCTGAGATGTGCAGTGGCCAGGATCAGCATGGGCCTCCATGGCCAGGCTGCTGGGGCATCAGTGGGGCAACTGAGCCCTAAATAAGTTTATAGAGGCGTGTGGCCTTGCTCACATGTTCTGTGCGCCCCCCCCCCCAACCCTCACTGCCCCTCCACCCCCAAACACACACACAGAGGAGGCGGTGTTAGTGTATGAAAGTGCCGGGTTCAGTAACAACCGAGACCCAAGTCTGATGTAAAAGCAAAGTGAACCTTTACTAGCCAGCTCAAGCTAGGGTCTGACCCAGAGTAATCCAAAGCAGCGGATACTCTGGGAGAGGGAAGGACCCTGGCTTCTTAAGTCATGGGTTTATAAAGGCATTTCGGAGGGGCTGGGTGGCCACAAGTCCCTGCTTGACAGATGCCTGGTGCAGATAACAGTCAGTTCCTGGAACCTTTACTCCGTGGTGGGGATCAAAACTTCTCTTTGATTGGCCTTCTGGCCTTCGCATTCCTCTACAGCAGCACCTGCTTTTCCCACCACAGTGGCATCTACTCCCTGCGCTGCCATCTGGGCTCCGAGCTGCAGATCCCTGTGAGAACAGGAAGTGCCTGCTTATGCTCAGGGCCAGCCAGAGGTCCAGTGGCAGTCACACAGCCTCTGCCCCTCCCCAGTGGGCTATCCTCCTTCCTTAAACATTTCTCCAGAAGGACTACATCATCTGATAAGAACTCATTTTACCCCATTAGTGCTTACACAAAAATAATGTCCTTATTTACTTACCCTCTCCATTCCTACCCTTTGACCCCAACTCCACCCTAGTCTGTTAGCTTCCATTACTAGGTCTAATTTTTATGAGATTAACTTGAACTTGGCACCTGATGGTTCACAGGCTTCTTCAGGATAGGTAGGACCTGAGTCAGGTCCTAGCTTCAAAGTGGAGCCCAAAGCTCATCATATCTGTCAGTCTTCCAAAGATAATGGTGAATTTTGAACTACAGTCTCTGAACTAACCACGCCTGATAGAAACCTTTCAGAATTCTAGTTCCCGTAAACATGTGCCCAATTTGGGGTTGTGTTTTCTGTGAAATCAGAGTTTTAGAAACAATATGGGTCTCACTCTTAAAACACCTTAGCCACAAACAATCTGCTTCCAATAAATCGTAAACTCTAGGAACTTAGGGCAAGCAGCTGAAGAGAGGGAACAAGTTTTATCAGTCAGGATCTGGGTATTCAGGTAATTTAGGCCAGAATACGCTGGTTCACAGTGAGTTTTGAAAAAGGTATTTGCAGAAGTGAAAATGGTGTGACTCAAATTCACAACACCAGCAATTTTAAATCCCTACCTTCCTTCAGTTTCAGCGAAAACATCTGAATTAAAGAAATACAAACGTCAGGAACCAATGGCCCCTGCTATGCCTGGGCCCCACCTTTAAAAAGGACTGCCACCTGGGTGCCCTCGGCTGGCTGGTGGGGCAGGTGGGTGGCTTATAGTAGAGAAAGAGAAAGGAAACACACTTAGGAGAAAGGTCAAGAAAAGGGAGCCTATTAAGCTCTGTTACTCCTCCCTCATGTCTACCCCCCATTTCTGGTATTGATTGAATCCCTTTTCTTTGGGTAAGTCAACTTCTCCAGGCTTCAGTTTTCTTATCGGTAAAATGAAGAGGTGCAGTAGGCTTCCGATTTTATCAATAAGTGTCATAAACAGTAACAAAAGAAAAGAAAGTAGAGCACGAGAGTGTGTGGACAGCTGTCCCTGGGCCATAATCTATTACTTGTTGCTTCCCACATGAAAATCCTACTAAGAATTCGCTGAAACTGATCTGGTCCAGGTTTAGGCTGGATCTTCTTTCTGTAGAAAGAACAGCTGACCTCAACCATTTGGGACGCGGCAGTCTGTGCTTGCCCTCTTTTTGTTTTTGTGATACGTTTCTGCTTAGTGATTTAATCATACCACTTTTTTTGTATTGAAAATAGATGTTTTATTTTGCTTATACAAGGTACAATTTCAAAATACAAATAATACATAACATTTGGATATATGGAAAAGAAGTATAAATATAGATATATCTGTAAAATGTCACTCAGTTTTTTGTTTGTTTCTGAACCCTTGAATTAAGAGGATCTATTGAGCACTGACAACTCTCTGTTCCTTTTCTTTACTGGCTCTCAACTTATGCAGGGCACCTGAAAGGAGAGAGAGTTTTCAGGAGCTGAAATGCTCGTGTCATGTTTGCAGACACCTCCCAAGTAAGGAGAAGCATTGAAATTAACTTAGAACCTCAGGTATATTTATTTTTGTAAACTGCAAACAACTGTGGGGATGAGGGAAGGAAGATAGTCGAGCAGAAAAGCTATCCTGAACAAATGTCACAGTGAAATAAAAACCCTGATAGGACGTCTGGAGGCTTTCAACATCTTCCAAGAGAGCTTCAACTGCCAGGAGTTGCCTTAGACAGGGTAGCCCAAGGCAGGGCGGGGCAGTGCAGACAGTGAGTGTCCATTCTAACCCTGGAGAACCTAGTCATCCAAGCTCCTCTGCTGTGCAAGGCCAATAAAATGATAACTGGATATTTTTTCAGGCTGGAGGGCTTTGCCCTGGGGTCCAGCTCCTCAAGTCTTATCTAGGTCCTCTTTAGTTAGAGCAGTGTCGACGTCCTTGCTTGCCTCTGGTTTTCCATGGAGTGTCCTTCATTGTGAGAATAGCTTTCTGGGTCTTCCTCTCCACCGGTGTTTTCCCCTGTCATTGGTGTGGTTTCTTTGTTCTCCCTTGTAAGTGTCCAAGAGTTTTGCCTATAAAGCATGTAAATCATGTAATGTTTTGAGAAGAGGACATGGACACCCTTAAGTCAAGTGATGAGATAGTCCCCATGGAATATTCCAAGGGAGAAAACCTAGATTGCCTCCATTCTTAGAGAATATTGAAATTTTTTTTAATCCCTCATTTGCCAAAGATCTACTGATATTGTTGGAGGAAATTCCTGGATTTTGTCAATCCTCTATTCAAAAGCAATAGTTCAAATGGTAGGAATAAGAAAAGGAGAGGTGCCCAGCTAGATGTGATAATCTTGATAAAAATGGTGTAATATTTATAAGCTTTTTAAACTAGTACTTGGCACCTAGTGTTAAATAAAGAAATTACATGAATCAGTTCTTGAATAACTGGGAACAGGAGAGGCAGACATCTTATTTCCACATTGGCCTGTGTGGTTGAATGACACATTTGGGTCGGCAATGATGTCCATGGATTATACCACCCCCCTGGGCGGGGGGGGGAGGTCAGCTTTTTAGGACATTTGTAAGTAAGCTTCTTGAAATATGAGTTAAATTATATATCAGGACTTTAAGCCACATTACCAAAATGATTCGCTAAAAGCCAACTTAATTGAAAGACAAACCTGAGAAACAGTTTGCCAAAAAATCAGATAACAGAAAAAAAAAAATCAGATAATAGAAAAAAATTGAGTCACCAAATGACCAAGCAGCCACATTTATCTGATTTACAATTTACCTAAAGATACACGTACATGAGTATTTCTTTAGTGTAGTTAGTGAGTACTGGTATTTTCCTTTTATAAGGATACTTTTTGGCCGTAGATAACAAATTTATAAATTCTTTTAAAGAATATTTCTTTATCAGGCCCTCCCTGGTGATGCAATGGGTTGGCACTACACTGTGAAGCTAAGCCAAGGAGTGGCTGTTCTGTGAGCTTGATCCTCCCCCCAGAGGTGACCCATATGGTGCGGCAGACCTCCCTTGTCTCGCCCGCTGCTCCCCTCAGCAGTGTACTTCCTTGATCTGCCTGTTCTGCTCCCTGCTCTGTTTTTGGTGAATCCTCTCACTGCCCCTGTAGCTCTGGTTATACCCCATTTCTGTATACATAAATAAATAAATAAATCTTAAGAAAAAAAAGGAATGTATCTTTAGCAAAAGCAAAGGAAAGGAAGGATCATCCACATTCTTTATGTTCACTGTAGCCAAATTTACAGTAGCCATGTAAGTTGTGGAAACAACCTAAGTGCCCAAGGACACAAGAGTAGATTAGAAAAATATGGTATATATACATAATGGAATATTATTCAGTTATCTAAAAAGATGAACATTTGCAATTTGTGATGACATATGTGGAACTACAGTGGAGAAAGCTAAGTCAGACGGCAAAAGACAAATACTGAGGGTTTCATTTATATGTGAATTCTAGTGAAACAAACCAAAGGATAAGACAAAACCAAACCAATAACAAGCCCCAGAAAACTGATAGTGGAATCAAGGGTCTGGGGAGAGGATTAATAAAGGGGGAGCACAATAGTGGATGATAGTGGAGACTTTGGTGTGAGCATCTGAGGGGTGTGAACCCCTGCCCCCGAATCACATGCAGAGTTGTTAGCCAACATTACTTCCAAATATACTTTTAAAATTATTCCTAAAAAAGAATATGTATTCCTTTAGAATGCATTGAATGAATAGATAGTTGTTGTAATATGGTAAGACTATAACTCCAACATTTTTATGTGGACATTATTTTTTTTAAAGATTTATTTATGCATACAGAACAGGGATACAGGCCAGAGGTATGGGGGTTGAGAGGGTTCACCAGAAACAGAGTGGGGAGCAGAATAAATAGGCAGATTGATGAAGTACACTGCTGAAGGGAGTAGTGGGCAAGACAGGAGAGGTCACCCCCCTGGCCAGGAATCGAATTCATGCTGAAGCAGCTTCAGTTATTATAAAAGCAGCTTTTATAATAATGTTTTGGATATCTTTTTAAAGGTAATTTTCTATTCTGCCAACACTTTAGCATCTTTTGGGTTACTTTGACAAAGTTTTGAGTAGTTTTTCAACCTTAGCTTGCTTTTTTCTATTACATTATGACTTATGAGGTTTGCGACATTACTTATTACTTGGGATGGTATTATAGTGCTTGAAGAGATGTAAATTTTTGGATTTTTAAAAATTTTGTTTTGATAATAGTATTTCATGGACTTCCTGTGGCAATATTAGGCTAAAAGGGAGGTATCATCTTTATATTGTTAGGTTATTCAGAAAAGAATATTTTATAACTAGTAACCAAAAGTTTAGTTTCAACACATCTGATATCCATATATTGTGTATGGCTGATGGATCCATAGCAATCCTGTCACTATGGAAAGCTGAAATGCTGCTTACTAATGATACAAATATGAAATTAAGACAAGTCACCATTTAAGGTTTAATGAAAGGATACCAAAAGTACCTAAAGAAAATAAAAAGAAGTAAAAACTGAAATTTGAACAGGTGTCAGAGACAATCTTGTCACAAATGCTGAAATGTAAACTCCAACTGTTATAAATACAAAAATCAGGTCCATGTGAATGAGTATATTCTAGAATAAGAAAGTTTATCCATATATAATGAATAAATTTAGGAAGAATATATTCACGGCTATATCATGAGACATGATACAAACTGCTTACCTACCAGCTCTGTCATTTTGTGCATTCTTTCTGAATTGGCTTTTGGTAAACTGACCTCCTGTTACCAGTTGATCGCCTGCAGTCATGATGCAGCTTCTTTCTCACAGGATTGCGGGGATCTTGCCCAGTGTGGCTCTCCTGCGCTACTTACCTTTGGCTCTTGCAGTATGCCAGGAAAGATATGACTGCGCCACTAAGGATGATGACAGGTATGGAGATGGTCACTGTGAAAGAGCAGAACTCAGCTGGGATCATGCTACAAGTCCTCATGGCAGATTCTTTTCTAAGAATCTACAGATTCTTTGCAGTTTACATTCCTGTAGATCCAAATGTCTTCCCACCCAGTTCACTCTTACTAACATTTCTTGAGGTCTGTGTAGTTTCATCATTACTACATCTGGACAAGAAGTCCACTCCTTTCCTACTAGCCAGTCCACGCTGTTCCTGTTCTCCTCCATTCCTCCTCCTAACCCTTGTGCCTCTTGAGCAAAGTGACACAGGTGACAGGGGTGAAGGGGCAAGGATGGGAGCATGACAGGAGGGCAGCAGACGGGCCTCAGAGACCAGAAGCTAGAGTGGAAGTATGAAGACAAGGGGGCCAGAAATACTGGCTGTGAGTCCAAACTTAAGAAAATAGGGCACTGATCCTCCTTACTTGTCCCCTGGTACAAGGTCCCCCAGTCAACTTCACAGAATCCTGACTCAGAAACAACATCATGCAGTGCTTTCCACCTCCCATTTTCATTATTATTATTTGCACCTCTTTTTGGCAGAGGAAAAGTAAAGAGAAAGAAGTAGTGTTATGGATGAAGGGCGAGTAAGACAACTTTGGAAAAGGAAGAAACTTGTTTTGACTGAGTTGAAAATAACTTCAGGGTGGAAGGCCAGTGGTCGTGACAGCTTTTGCAATTTAGTAGACAAGCTAGGGAGAGTGAGATACTCATGGAAAAGCTAGAGGACTTAGCCTCAGGGTAGGGTGAGCAAAACTGTGTTTGCTTGTTTTTTGTAAAAGGGACGTTTTTATTTACTTTGAAGGTCACATTAATTTGTTTTACTTTTTATGTGTTTGTTTAATCCTTCCATAGAACAGCCTTAAGACCAAATTCCTTTTCTCCCCACCACCATCCATGTAAACCAGAAAAAACAGTAAAGTTATAAAAGCAAGTAACTAGCCAAGTAAATAAAAACAAGCATTGGCAAGTTGTTAGAAAAGAAGTAACCGAAAACATAGGAAATTAGTGAAGGATGATTTGAGTCTCCAGATTTAACAGTAATCATTAGTATAACTAAGAAAAAGAAATAGTTTTTTAGCAGAGATTTTGGACACAATTATAAGTTATGTGCACAAATTAACTAATGGGCTTGGCATGCATTTACCGTTTGTGGAGAGATTTATTGTAAAAGGCAAGTGGAACCGTAGTTCCACTTTCACAGTGCTCCTTCCTGTTTCTGTTTAGTGTGAATAAAAACTGCAGACTCAAATTCAGTTGAGACCACTTTTGAGCCAATGATGAAATAAAGCAATTTAAGTTTAGTGACTTAGCCCTGACCCTTGGCTTCTTCACACAGTTTTGTCCTGGGAACTTTAGCAAAGAAGCTGAAATCATTGTCACTAAGCTTCCAGGTTCTGCACCCATTTCCCTTTCTGGGAAGGCGCATGGACTGGAGAGAAAGAGGTTGAGACAGAAGAGGAGAGAGGAGACAGAAGAGGAGAGAGGAGAAGGAAAAGTAAAGGTTGATTGCTGCGCAGAAGCACTATAGCGCCCCACCTGGACTTCAGCCTCAGTGTGTGAGGCCTAAGGCAGGGATGGGGACCCAGACAGCAGTGACTTCTGCTAGATGTGTTGACAAAAAGTGTCCTCTGAGAAAATCCAGGGACTCTCAGCAAATAAGGCCAGTCAGAACTCAATATTTCTGATACTGCTAGGGCCAGCCTGCTTGTATGCCATGGAAGCAAGTTTGAAGTAAGATTGTAAACTCATTATTCCTGGTCAGGGGTTCTTCTCTATCTGTTACTGTGCTAAGAGTTCAGAGTAGGTTCTCATGAAATAATTGAGATATTTCATAATCTAACATAGATAATAATAACTTAGTGTTAAGTTATTAACACTAGTTATTACTAAGTTTAATCCATAGATTAAAATGTCTCTTGCTTTTTTAATGGAAATTTGCATTTCACTGTGGTGAATGGGAGTTCCTAGCAGAGTAGGAACTCATTTTATACTGAGTGAGCAGATGAAAGATATATTGAAGTAGGTTGCTCCTATAAAGCCTGAGCATAGTGACAGAAGCATGTCTGTTTCATGTCTGAAAGACCAGTAGTGTAATGCATTTTGAAAAACAAACTTGACACTACTAATGTATTAAACGAATGTGTAGGTGTAATAAACACTGTGATTGGCAACCTTCTACCCCTTTATTTTATAGTCACATCTTTCAAAAGAGCCTAGGCAAGGATCAGAGAGTAGATGTTAGAATAAAGTTATTGATAAAAAGGCCAGTGAATAAGGCTGTAGATATTAAAGATAGTGAAAGGATCCATCCTATTTCCTAGATACCCTAAAGATGGTAGGGTCCTCATATTCATTTATTTGTTTACTTACTCATTTGGTATTTATTGAGCATCTGCCGCTTACCATTTTCTGTTAAATTAAAAAATTAACTTTTAAGAGTGTGATAATCATTTATATATCTTATGTAAGAAATAAAATTTGATGGCATATTCATAGGCTGATTAGAACATTAGGTTAACAATTCTGATAGTTTCTTACAAAGCTGAGCTCAATACTAAATTAATTGTTTGAAAATACATGTGGAAAAGATGATCTCAAATTTTATCTGTAGGTTTTTAATCCTGCAGATATAGTTTCACATATGCAAAATGATAATTAATCCAATTAATCATAGTCAAAGAATGTAAGCAATCACCTGATCCAAATAAGGGATTGGCCAACTAATTGTGGCAACTTTATACAAAGGAAGATTTTGTAGCTGTAAAAGAGGAGGTTGTTTGTGTACTACTAGAAGGCTGGCCAAGATATGCCATTATTGAATCATGGTGCAGAGTGGCCAGAGAGGAATACCTAGCCATCCTGATTCGGGCATCCTCAGTGTGCTGACCACATGCCCGCTTTCTCTGGAAGGTTGCACAGACGCCTGATAGCAGCAATCCTTCCTTCCTGCAAGGGGATTTTCAGTCAGAGATGGAACTTTTTACTCTACCTCCTTTTGTAACTTTTGAACCATGTGCAAATGTTCTGATTGCAAAAATGAGTAAGACATTTAAATGATGAATATGTCCGGTAAGGAGTAGAATTAGGCGGACTACTTTATTTACTGGCCTCTTAAATGTTAAAGGTATTTTTGCTTCAATTTCCTCCTCATGAAATGTTAAAGTGTTTCCATGAAAACACTCTCCAAAGAGCCTTTCTAAAAAGGCCTTGCTTTTGCGTGTATGTTCTGATCATTTTAAAAACCATTCTAATTAACTGCTGAAATTTTTCCCAGATGACACTGGATGCAAATATAATGTCATCACAAAACTAGAAAGCATCTTCTAGCAGGAAAACTTATGACTATTAAATGGAAATAATTGTTCCATATCTAAATATAGTGTTGTTTTTGGTTGATTGAAAACTCGTCAGACAAATATATTAGATTCTGTCTCCATGATTTGCCTTCCACCCCTTCCTTTTGTCCCATTTCCTTTCTTTCTCATTTTCTCTTCCCTGAGCTCTCCTATCTACCCTTTTTCCCTTTTTCTTTCATTCTTAATACTTTTACATTTTCCTCCTTATTCTCATTGGACTTCCCCCCGAACCCCCTTTCTCTGCTAGCCTTAGTGTCATGAGCATCATTGTATAAAGAAACCTTTTGCTCAGAAATTTAAACCTACCTTGCTCTATAGAGGGCAGTGGTCATGTCAAATAGAGACCTGCATAAGTAGGGCAATTATGTCATTTACTATCTAGATGGAGATTTCCAGAGCTGAAGTGGCGCTGTTAGTGGTTATGCAGGGACAGCACACACAAAGCAGGCCCGCACAGAAACTGCGGTGACATGGGGAGCACTTACCGGTGGTGATGGTGGCACTGTGTGCATGTGTACCTGCAGAGGAGAGATTGCAGCTCAGTTACGGCTGTCATCCTAAAGGCACGCGAGTCTCATTAAGCAGGAGAAATTACTCACAGCCTGACTCTCATCTTAGACCCTGAGAGATACATGGCTGGCAGAACCAAACTTGCTTTAGCAAAGAACAAGCAGAGTAATTCATTTAGTTGCTGGGTCATGAGTGAGGATCAGATGTGCCCTCACAGAAGAGTCCAGTTAGCAAGAGCGCCTCCATCTCCTACATTGAGCCTCTACGCAGCAGAAAGCACCTCTGTCTCCCGCACTGGGAGAAGCTTGGCAGAGACAGTGTGGTACCATTGTCTTGTCATATCTGGGAGATGGACTTCTTTTACAGCAGGATGGAGCGGAGTGGACAGAGAGCAGAACAAGTGGCTACAGCAGAAGGCGGCAGCAGACTTGGGCTGGGTGGTGGGAGGTCGTCTGTCGGCCCGCTCCAGAGCCCACCCTCCTTTCCACAGCAGCACTCAGGGGGCTGGCCTCCTACATTGCGTAAAGCCAGTGCTAACCTGGCGTCTCGGGCAAAGTGGAGGTAGTGTGTTCCATAGCCTTTGTTGTTGTTTGAGGTGCGGCTTGGGAGTGTTTGTTACTGACTACTTCTGTGCATCCTGCAGAAGGAGCTGTGGATGGTGTCAGCTGAGAGCCGGATATGGTAGCTGGCTTTGTGGCCACTGTGGAGTCTGACTTGGAAGTGAAAGCTGGCTCTGTAGGAAAGTTCAAGACACAGAGAACATACATATTTAGAATAGTCTCTTTTCTTGTTCCGGAAGAACGTGGACTTAGTGCTTAGGAGTGTCTTATGAGCCTGCCCTGGACCAATCCTCCCCCTGAACACTGCCCTGGCGCTCTTTGGGAAAATCACTTAAATGGGTAGCAACTTTACCCATCTGGAATAGCCACAGACATTTTTTTTTTTAAGATTTAATTATTTATGCATACAAGAACTGGGGTACAGTCCAGAGAGGTGGGGGTGTGAGAGGATTCGGCAGAGACAGTGAGGAGCAGAAGAGGTAGCTCTATTGAAATACACTGCTGAGGGGAGCAGTGGACAAGACAGGAGAGGTCTGCTGCACCATGTGGGTCAGCTCCCTGGCCGGGAGATTGAACTTGTTTTGCAGTGGCTACAGATAGTCTGAATCCCTTGTGTTAGCAGGGCAGCCCTGGCCACAGGATTTTTGAGAACACTAAAGGATTCATAGTTATCTACATGGTGCTTATAAGTTAAAGTCCAAAGAATCCAGTAGATCCAGGTTCTTTTTTTTTTTTTTTTTAACTAGAGGAGGCATGTAAAAGCAATCACACTTGATTTGCTGATGTTTGGGGTTGATGGGAGGTGAATTTCATGTTTCCTGCACATTCCTGTACATCTCTCCTAGAGGACTGATAGCTCTTCCACTCTCTTCAAAGATGCTGAAACAGCCATGACTTCTTTCACCTAGCTCCACAGATACTGTGTTTCTTATAAGACCCTCTACCAGCAAAAAGGTTACTGTTTGCTGAGGGTTCAGATGATGGTCTGCCCTTTTAAGCAGTGAAGTACTTTTTAATTAAGGTATGTGTACTTATTTAAAAGATATAATGCTCTTGCACATTGAATAGACAAGAGGATCATGTAAAGGTAACTTTGAAAGGGACTGCGAAACCAGAACATCAGAACACTTGCTTTGTGTGACACAGGCATTATTATGGTGGTCTGGAACTGAACCCAAAGTATCTCTGAGGGGCCTGTATAGTTTTTGAAGATGCAGACAGCACCTCCCTCCAGGTGTACTTGTTCATCCTTTAACACTCAGGTTCCTTGAGTGCAGGTTTCCTCCCCTGGGAGGAAGCTTGCTGAATCTCCAGGCATCTGTTTAGGCCTATCTGCATTGCCCTTGAGTGCCTGGGATGAGGCACTGGGGCAGGCATGCTGCCTGCTCTAAGAGTTCTTTGTCAGATCCCAGAGTGATGTGTTTCTTGGTGGCGCGGGTGAAACTGTGGCAAACACGAGGTAGGAAAAACCTCTGACCCCCTTCAGTAGTTGTTGATAATATGTTTCCATAACTAAGTTCGAACTAACATATAAAGAGTGCATTTTAAACTATTATTAATGATGCACATGGAAGCTGGATATCAAGCAACTTTGAAAACTTAAGAAAAATGTAAGCCAACATAAATTTTTACTCTTGGTTTTAATAATATTATTCCATTATACAAGTTTGCATTGCAATCCCAATAGTGTTCCAGATGCAGGGATTCGTGGGACCTGAGTGGTTGCATGGGACGGGAATCCTGAGAAAGTTTCCCACATTCCTACCTGTTCCAGAAGGGGAAGGGCTCTCTGGCTCTGGGGTCACCCTTGCTGGTGCTACGGTGGAGGGTGACTTTTGATGACTCAAGGAGGGGTTTCCTAGAGAGAGGATAACCACATGGCATTTATGATACTGAGGTGAAGCCTGAGGTGGCTTCAAACTGGATATCATTAAAAATAAATATATAAATTGAAGATGAGTGTGTCTGGCTTCTGAAGTAGGTTAGAAGCACAAGAAAGAAGCAACTCTAACTGCCAACCTGCAGTTCCAATGCAAGTGCAAACACAGGCTGCACACAACTTTGCTAGTCTTTCAAAAGCCTGTACAAGATAAGTATCACATTTGTTTTTGATTGGATGATGTCAATATCAACCTTATCGTGCTGGCTTCTGGCATGGGAAAATACATCATTGCTCAATAGATTTAGTCTGTTTGGCAGAAGAAAAAGCATTCAAAGCCTAAGACTTTGAAAAAATAATAGAGGCAGTTGTTCGTGGTAAAAGGTGGGGATTCTTTGGGCAAGATGAAACCTAATGATTCCTCTAATCTTTAGGTTCTAAAATGCAATGATTCCAGGTCTCCTTTCTCTCCTTCAGAGCCTATAGCTTTCCTCCATCTTGGATTCATTCATCCAAATGAATTGGAACTTTTAAGAAGCAGTAACTTGCCCTATAGTGAAAAGCGCTGTTTTTTTTGCCCCTGGCTTAGAGGTTCTCACGTGTGCCTGGACTGGACAGTGTGAGTTCCAAGTTCTCACCACACCCAGTCCCACTTCACTTGCATCGCGCCATGAGATGCTATATTCCCCAGTCCAGCAATTTCTCTGCAACAAGGAGAAGATTTTGTCTTTGCTTCTGATACATGTAGCAGCTCAGGCAGGGGAAGGGAATGAGGCACAGTGTGATCGAAACCCTGAAAATTCACTAAGAAAGCCCTGCTCTCCAAGTGAATTGGCTGTAGACTGTTGTCTTCTGTTGTCGTCTCCTATCCCCCAGAGAGGAGTTGAGAATTCTCACGAATGTTTTATGAGAAAGTCTCTTGCTTGCAGCTGAAGGCACACCAAGTGCTCAATAAATGTGGATCCCATCAAAATTCTCTTGTTAAGTCAGAATTAATCATGGATTAGTTTATATTTTTCAGAATAAAAGGCTTAGTATTTTTGGAAATGACACTGTGTTACTTCTACCCCAAAGATTCTGGCATGGTTTTCCAGTTGTGTTTAGTTAAAAAAAAAAAAAAAGATTCTGGTGACTTCCCTCTCACTTGCTTCTGAGTGCAGGTGGGTCCTGTATGTGGTTGACCAAGCTAAGGGATTCTCTGCTCCTGTGTCTCCCCAGATTCCTGGGTGGGTACCAATGGAGAAGAATGACAAAAACTTCCCTGAAGGCTATTGCTTATGAGAAATAAGGAAACTCGGGGAAGCAGGCATGCTGTAAACACCCACCCTGTCTGTCACCAAACCCTTGCTACTATAATCCTAAAGCACTGGTGCAATAATAGTTAACACTTGCCAAGTTTCACTTCATCCTCCTACAACCCACAGTGGTGACGTCAGGTCCATTTTCTAAAGGAGGAACCAAACACTTCAAGATATTCAGACCATTTCCCAATGTCTCACAGTTGGTAAATGGCAGAACCAGGATCTGAACCTAGAACTGTGTGACCCACAACCCATGAATGCCTTTCTCCAGGAGCTGTTATTTAGAGGCCCACTGGTTTTCTTAGGCTCAAACCACAACACAACTCTCTTGGTCCTTGAGACGGGTTTCTGTACTGCTTGGATGGAGAAACAGCATAGCTACTTACTGATGCACTTGAGATTAGGAATTGTCCAGAGGGCAGTATTCATTGTCTTGTTAAACACACACTCAGTCAGGCTGGATGTGCCAGCTTTTCGCTTGAAGCCTGAGTTACAAAAATACCTTTCCCTGGAGTTCAGGCTGTAACTCTTGACCCTGATGTCTGCATGTTCAACGGAAGTGGGAGTAGGGCATGTGAGGTCTGCAAAAGAAGATAAGGAGACAGGTGAGCAAGTTAAAAAATTTCAACTTGTTAAGACTCATTTTCCAGTCATAACTTAGGATAAACCCCAGAGCCTCTTAGGATAAACCCCAGATTCCCAGCACAGGAAAGTTGTCCCATAAGGGCAGCATCATCTAGAAGCTTTCCAGGAGCTTTGCCTTTAAGCCTTGCCAAAATAGCTGGAGATGGGGAGTCATCAATAGAAAGCCCCTTACCACATCCCCTTCCCGCCCATCTCCAAATTCAACAGCTCTCAAAGGCATTCATCTCTGTCCTGTCCCACCCTGGCCCACATCTCTGCTCTCTTGCCTCAGCGTAGTAATAGCCCAGAGTGGTTTCCCTGACCACTCTCCCTGCGACCTTTCTTCCATTTCCATAAAGTAGCTAGTGTCTGCTTTAGAATGGCATTTTTGATGACTGCACTCTGCTGGCTGTCCACTGCTCTTATAATGAAAACCAAAAATCCTTCAGAACTCTTCAAGACTCTGCCAGGCCTGGATCTGCCTTCCTCACCAGCTGCTCTTCTCCCTAGTCACACTGGTCTTCCGGCCACTAGGCATCTACTTAAGACACTGGAATAATGCAATGAAATGTTATGTCTTATCAGCTGCACTGTGGGCTGTGTGAGCAAAGGGCCACAGCTGTTTTGCCCAACACTGCATATCCTCTGAGCTCAGCAAAGTACTTGGCAGTAGGGGTGCTTGAGTACTTATTCAAAGAATGACTAGGTGAATGCTCTTCCTCAACAACAGGCTCAAGTCTGACCTCAGTGAGTTATTTAAACCATTTCTACACATGTAAGCAGCTTATCTGTTTATTCTCACTTTTAGGGGAAGAAGCTAGGGTTGCTTTGGTGATAAGTGGATTCAGATTCCAAAACTTCAGTTAGAAGTTCTGGCAGTGGTGCCCTAGCTCTGCTCTGTGGCGAGGAGTTTCACAAGCTAATATCTAAGCATAAAGGACTAAGAAGGAAAAAAGGCACTGAAATGTTGGCATTTTAATTTTGAGAATGTCATATTTGTGACTGACTTTCTGTATCCTTTAAAAACTCCTTTCCCACATAAAAGCATGTAAAGACAAAGGTAAAGAAAATTTCACTTTATTGAGTTGTAGGAGAGCTTCAGACTTCTTTGTTGTTATGTATGGAAGAAAGAAAAATTAGCTTTTTTTCACTAGGTAAAAATGAATGAAGTTGGTATCATTTATCCTGTAGTGATAGAAAATACTAGGAATCCCAGGCATAGAGTCTGGATGTCAGTTAAAATATCTTCTTTGGCACCAATTTTGTAGATTAGGGTTCTGTAAAGAAGCATTAAAAGGGTAACTTTATTCTTAAAAGGTGAGAAGCTAGACTGCTTTCTCCAAGGCAACATTGCTGACTACTCTTGTTTAAGACAAGGTTTGGTCCAATGTCCTGTGCCAGAAAGAGTCTATGGTAGCTAAAGTTAAAAAGTAAGATTTTCTATGGCACATAGATGATTTGGTGATGGGTGATGCAACTGAGATAGAAAAATGTACAAAAATATGTAAAAATAAACTATTATAAAATTTTTTTAAAGGGGTGCTATAAAATAACTTAGAAAATGAAAAAAAAGTAAGATTTTACTCTAGACACTCAAAAACAACTATTTTTGTACTCTCCCTGTACTTTAATACATTATTAGGTTCTTTTGCAAGCAGTGGCAATGAGCAAGAACTGGTTTCTTAGGCTTAATCTTGTCTGGGGCAGTGGGGCTGGCTGAGAGTAGAGCAGGTGGAAAATTCCTCTGCAGCATTTTCTATTCTGGAGTGTGTAAGAACTCCTCTCCTACACAGCTCCCCTCACTAAAGTGTGTATGTGAGGACATGCCAAGTGGGTCACTGGCTTGCACAGGGAAGCAACTGAAAATACCAGGTCAGCTCTAAAGTGTAAAAACAGGTGGGTTATCTATAGCGTCTGCAGTTGGTTTGGGTTTTGTTCAGGAAATGGGAATAAGTCACTGAGCAGCTGGGACATCAGCAGGTAAGAAGGTTAGGACTTGGGCAAGCAAACAAGGTGAAATACTCTTTCTACCGAGGTAGGGAGCTGGAGGGGGAGACTGAATATAGTAGCAGGCAGTCACAGAATGGAGTGGGAAGCCCCCCTAATACATCAGTGCCAGGGGTCAGCAAACTGTAGCCCATGGGCCAAATCAGACATGCCACCTACTTTATTTAAGACATTTTTAATGGAAAACTTATTTGTTTAGGAATTGCCCATAGCTGATTTCATACTATAGTGACAGAGTTGAATCATTGCACCAGAGTCTGGATGGCTACCAAGCTTAAAATATTTACTCTCTGGTCCTTTTCAGGAAGATTTTGCCAAACCCTACTCTGGGTAGCATTTAAACAAATGATTGCCCTTGTTATGAAGTTATGAAGCCTAGTGAGTGAGCACAGAATTAGTGCAGTTCTCAGGGTAATGTTGCTGGGAAGGGTAATACAGCATATCTAAAATAAAAATCATTGCATGGCAATGATTAGTCAAAATGCAAATGGTGAAATAAAAAAATTTGCATCTGATATCATAGAGGAGTAGTTTCTCTCCTATGTTAAGAGCTTTTGAAAAAATCAATGAAAAGATCAACCCTTGGAAAACCAGGAAAAGGATATAAACAGGCAGTTCACAGATAAAGAAATATAAATCGCTCTTAAATATATAAAAAGATATACAACCTCATTCATAGTGAAGGAAATGTAAAAATAGAGCAACACTTTACAGTAAATACTTTAAAATAAAGTAAGATAAAAACAGCACTTTTCAGCTACCAAATTGAAAAAGAGCCCAAAGTTGATTAATCCACCATTGTTGCTGTTTTCATATTGCTCCTATACCCTCTGGTCAGGGCATATTTGCAATTTAATACACATGCTTCTTGATCCCACTATTTTACTGATAGGAATTTATGTTATAGATATACCTGCATATATGGAATGTTGTTACAATGCTTAGGCACCTACTTTTTACATTAATTCAGAAGGATACCTGCACCCCTATGTTTATTGCAGTACTATATACAATAGGAAAAACCTGGAAACAACCCAAATGCCCCAAATTAGATGATTGGATCAAGAATATGTGTCATATATACATAATGGAATACTACTCAGCCATCAAAAAGATAAACTCATGCTATTTGCAGCAACCTGGATGGAGCTAGAAAGGATTATGCTCAGTGAAAAAAGCCAGAAGGAAAAAGAAAAACACCGAATGGCTTCACTTATAGGAGGAATATAAGAGAACCAACTAAGACATGGGGGAAATTATATTGTTATTACAATACAAAACACAACACAACAAAACAAAGCAAACAGACAATTATAAACCAAAGATATACTACAGGGGAGGGGGACAGAGAGGGATTGGAAGGAGGGAGGGAGGAATGTGGGGGATTGTGGTGATGATAGAGGGTGAATTGGGGGGAAGTAACATAGTTTTAAAACGGACAATAATGTAAATAGATACATAAATTAATTAAGTATAAAAAATGCTTAGGCACCTACTTTTTAATAAAGTAACTCCAGTTATACTGGCGTATCTGTGAAGTGAATTCTACACAGGTCTTCATTATAAGCCAGCATCTGTAAATTACCTTGCATGTAGTCAGTAGGAGAATAATGAAGTGAATTATAGTATAGCTGTACAATGAAGGATCACCTGGGTCTTTACAATAGACAAAAAAAGCTCTTTGTACACCAAAATATTAAATTGGAAACGTTTCCAGAGCATACTGTTAGGGTAAGAAAAAAGGAACAGAACGCTGTTTTATATTTTATATATCCACCTCCAGTGGATAAAACTAGCTTTTCTTATATACAGCATCTCTGAAAGGTTACACAGAAACTGTTAACACTAGAAATGAAGCAGCTGAGCTATGACAGGAGAGACTATCAGTGGATGTCTTTTCAAACTTTGAATTTTTAATGGTGCAATGTTTTACATGTTTAAAGTTTTTGAAAGTTTTTAGAATGCTGTTACTTAAATTGTTATGTACATAGGTTTTTTTATTGTTAATATGTATATGCTGGGATGAAAATTAAAATATGTAACAATTAGAGGCAGTCAGGAATCTGGAAGATTCTGGACAGCTGGACAATCTGGAAGGTTTTTCCCTCCCCCTTTGGGGGAGAAGTTGCACCGAGCTGACTGAAAGGTAAAATACTTCTTTTTTTTTTAAAGATTTATTTATTTGTGCATACAGAACTGGGGTATAGGCCAGAGGCTCAGGGGTGGCGAGAGGCTTCACCAGAGACAGAGCGGGGAGCAGAACAGGCAGATCAACGAATACACTGCTGAGGGGAGCAGCGGGAAGGCCAGGGGAGGTCTGCCACACCATGTGGTCACCTCTGGGGCAGGTGGGAATCGAACTCATGCGAAAGTGGCTTTAGCTTCTCAGTGCTGTGCTTTAACCCGCTGCGCCACCAGGGAGGGCCTAAAATACTTTTAACTAGTTGCTGTACCCAAAGTTAATAGAAAAGAGAAGAAATCTGTTCGGTTTACCACCTTCTCCTTTCTCTCTCTCTCTCCTCTTGTCTTTGGAATGTATCCTGTTTCCCCGAATCCCTTCCAAAACATTTTTATTCTATCAAGTTCCATTTAGCTAGCTGATTTTATTTTATTTTTAAAGGTTTATTTATTTATACATTCAGAATTGGAGTTACAGGCCAGAGGTGTGGGGATTCACCAGAGACAGAGAGGGGAGCAGAACAGGCAGATGTACTGAAATTCACTGCGGAGGGGAGCAGCAGGTGCGTCAGGAGGTCTGCTGTGTCATGTGCGTCAGCTCCTCAGCCAGGAATGGAACTCATACTGCAGTGGCTGCGATAGCTTTACACTGCTGCTCTTTAACCCACTGCACCACTAGGGAGGGCTCTTGACTGGCTGGTTTTAATTTCAGATGATGTTTTGAATCTCTTGATCTTTTTTCCAGTTACCTTTGCTCAATCTTCACTGTTTT